AGAGTACTCTCTTAGTGTTATTTTCTAACGTTCACTATTTTTCTTACTTGAGAGGTGTTGAAGCTGATCATTTTTGAGACTTGTTTAATGTACAAATGTACAAACAAACAAAGCAGTATCTTTAATTCACCATTAATCAGTAAAATAAGTTTATAGTTTATAGTTTATATTTAAAATATAATTCCAAACTAAACTTGACTCTAGGATATAATTCCCTTAGCATCACTTGGTGTTCCATGGATCTACTATTCAATTATTCTATTCATACAGGCTGATGTGATCTATCAAGGTTAGTGGTGCATCCATGGAGATTTCCTACAATTAGATTCAAATTCAATTATTATGTTGGCGGGAAAATAATGCAAATTTTTTTGACCCGATTTTTATTTCAAAAAACAATAAATAAAGAGGATTAATATAAAAGGTATTCTCCATTATTATTTAGGGCATCATTCCATCTTTTGCTCAATTCAATAATTCCATCTTCAAAGAACTGGGGACTTTTTGACGAAAAATAGTTGGTGACCGCATTTTCGACTTCCTGGGAAACCTTGAACAGCTGATCGGAGATGAATTGCTTTAGAGACCTGGATAAGTGGTAGTCTGATGTGGCCAAGTTAGGGCTGTGTGGGGCATGAGGTAGAAATTTCCAGCCCATCTCTTCGATTTGTTGGAGCATCTTTGCCCTGTGCGCTTTTGCATTATCATGCAAAAACCGAATTTTTGAAGTGTCATGTCGAGATTTCGATAAAGCTTGATTCAAACGCTCTAACTACTCGCTGTAAAGTTTAGCTGCGACAGTTTTACCCGTTTGAGCAGTTCAAAATAAACCAATCCACGATCGTTCCACCATACACACAACATCAACTTCTTTTCATGCGGACCAGGTTTTGTGACACGTGACAACCGGGACTTGCTTTGGTGATAGCATTGGTGCTTGCGCTTAACGTTATCATATAATATCCACGTTTCATCAGAAGTAACAATTGTTTTCCAAAAATCATGCGCTTTTGATTTTTGAATCAAAATTGAACAAGTACAACAATACGGGGAATTTTGTGGTTGAGAGTCAGTTAGTTCATGTGGGACCCATTTTCCGCATCTCTTTCGCTTTTCAATCAAATGTAAATGCTCTTCAATAGTGCTATGCTGAACATTGAACATTTCCGACAACTCCCGAGTGGTGCAAGTGGGCTCTTCTTCGATAATTTGCAAAAGTTGAGACTCATCCAGCTTTCGAGGACTTCCTTCGTGATGCTCATCTTCTAGACTCTCGTTTCCACTTTGAAATCGCTCAAACCATCGATAAAATTGGCTTCCGCTAATACTACCTTCGCTATAGGCCTTTGAAATAGAATTATGCGATTCTAGGGCAAATTTCCCAAGCTTAAAGGCATAGAGTAAAGCAGCTCGAATAAGGAATTTTTGTTCCGTCATTCTTTGATAAAAAATGAACAAATGTTTTCGAATAATATTATGGTTGTGTAAATAGGTGCACACTCTGCTTCTCCGTTACTATCGCGGTTTTCTCTGTTTTTCTGCCATTACTTTCCCAAGAGCACAAGTTAAAGACTCGCGAATTTCCCCGCCAACCTAATAGTAACCATTTAAATCATTTCAACAATGACATTTAGCAGTGAACAATTTCTTATTAGGCCTCATGCGAGCTCACGTTCAATTGAGTCAAAAGTTCGGGTTGAAAATGTGCCCACATATAAGAAACAAATTGTTGCTTATTTACAAAAGCACAACTATACGGTGTACTATGATTCGGAAGCTCATGCTTTACAATTAGATTCAAATTTGCTAGTAATCATTTAAATCATTTCAACAATGATATCAATGACATTTAGTCGTGAACAATTTCTTATTCGGTCTCATGGGTGCTCACGGTGTGCTCGCATCGATTTCACTGCTTATTTTGACGCAACCATATCGACGTTTCGTGATCTCAATCATTGTGAAAGGACCAATATCGAAATTTATCAGAAATCATTTCTTCAAACAAACACAATCTATTATCATTCCTGTTTCGAATATAAATTCAAAATAGAAAATGGTGAAAACAAGTATAAAAACTTTGATTTTGATTAGAATAAAATAATGAGGTGAACAGGTGCAGAATGAGTTTTGAAATTCTCTAAAAATGCTTATGGCACCCTTATCAGAAAAACGAACTGAAGTTTCACAGTTTCTTCTCAAAAATTGACCACTTGCGCTATTTGAGTCGTGAATTATTTTGTAAGAAAACAACGGGAAAGTACAAACTTTATTGCATTTTATTTTGATTTAATGAAGATTTTAGGACTACTGAAAAATACTTAATTCATCAGATTAAACATATATATTGTTTTCCAAAAAAAGTAAAAAAACACTTGTTCTTTTAACAAAATATAACTGATAGTTGTTAATTGAAAATTGCTGATGTTTTCTGTAGAAAAAAATCTTGTGGGATTCTTTTTAACAAAAAAAAAATGAAATTCAGACACCGAAAATTAAAATAAGCCGATTATCCGAGAGAAAATCTAATTGCGAAATCGGAGACAAACGTTCCTTTCAAAGTTTCAATCACTTTATTTTATTTGTTTTAAATATGATCAACACAGATGTGGATACAATATTAGAAGTGTTGATTATTGTAATTGTTGGTTTTTTTAAATTTTTGTGCATTTACACTTCGAGAAAACAAAGTTTTCATTTCTTAAGCCCTATTTGTTTGGGTTTGGCTGGTGATGGTTTCGAAATGTTTTGAATGAGTTGAGTTCATGATTCCATTCCTAATCTGTAAGCTATTATAAGCTGTGAGTGCTTGACTCAATTTTGTAAACTTGGGAACAAAAGCTTAAACCCTCAAAGTGCATTAGCAGGTAGTTTTCAGATAACTTGGTTTGATTTTAACATTTGGTTTCCTCGGTATTCGTGTGCTCCTTCAAAGCACAATTGTTTCGGGAATTGTTAGATATTATTGTGTATTGTCTTCTTTTCATCAACGATCAATGAGTGTCATTTATTTTCAGGTGATTTGGTAAGAGCTTTTTAACAATAACTTTTAAAGGGATACTCCGGCCTAAAAGTTGACTTTCAAGAATGGCGGTCATTTATAGCTCATGAGTTATCGTCTGGGACAATATTCGTGTGCTATTTCAATAAAAGGCTGGCAATTGGTTATTATTATGTTTTCATCATATTTACGCATTAAAACAAAAAGAATAAACTTTAAAGAATTTGAAGAAAGAAAGAAAAGAAAACACAAAGGATGATGATTTGGTGGAAGGGATCAATTCGAAGTGGATTTCAAAAAAAAAAAAAGAATCACGGCTTGAGTTGGGCGGTTATTTTATACTTTACACATAAATTAAGTTGCCATTTTTGCTCATTTTCTGTTTATTCTTTATTACTCAAAAAAATGAGTTCTTTGATTTAGTGGTGTTTTTTTTTGTTGTGACAGCGTTGTCGATGTTTTCTTCTTTGTTTTTCGAATAAAAGATTGTTGCTTATTTGATAAGTTTACTCTATTTAGCATAATAAACAAGTTAATATTTAAAAAACAAGTCAATATATTAAAAAAATCTATAAAATCAGATTGAAATTAAAATAAGCATTGTTTCTTTTCGTTGAATCGATTTTTCACTCCTAAATCCACAGATGGCAAACGCAAGGGATCACATTCATTCAATAAACAGAAAAAAAAAAACAATAGTTTTATATTTAAAGACTATTCGACGAATTAACGTAGTGGTACTTTTCCAATCCGATTATCGGGAGAGCGAAAGGAAAATCGGGGGAGCAAATTTTGGCAGCGCTACATATGTCCTATATTATACAAACTACCGCCATAAAATTCGCGAATTACCCGTTATTCTCACAACCTTTATATTAGATCACAAAAGTGACTTAAATATCTAACACCGAGCGAAATAGATCTTTTCCCTTTGAGCGGACTTTCATCGATTCGCCACAGTTGCGAATCCACGACTGGATGACTCCTTTGGTGACGAAATAATCGATTGCCGTCGATTCCTTGAACGCACAAATGTCGGAAAAGCGCATCGTCGTTAAAGTCTTAAAAAAAAAACGTTGCAGTTAAAATAGAGTCCCGGAAATGCATTTATCGAGGGGGCAAAATTTGCTTCCCCGATTTTCCTTCCGCTCCCCCGATAATCCTTCCGCTCCCCCGATATTGGAAAAGTACCAACATAGGTGCTTATGTTATGTTTGTTAAAGTTAAAAAGTCATTTTTTCCAACTTACTGGAAAATGGAGAGACACAGCGTTGTTCGCCGGCTTTGCCTCGTTTCCAGTCGGAGCGTCGAGGCCCTGGATACCGTTTTCCTCTAAAAAAAAATCGAGCAAATTCACTTAAGAATATCTCAAGAAGCGTTGATCAGAAGTTCTTGATATGAGATCGAAAAATGTAGCTGACGATTAGATCTTTTGAATTAAAACAATTTTGGGCTTTATTCAAATTGAAAAACGATCAAAAATATCCACTTTAGACACGGGCCAGCTGCAAATTTCTGTGTTTTTGCATTGAAATTCGGTATAAAAGCGCCCAGTTAAACCACAAAATCATCTCGAAAATTTCATTTTCGAAGTTCTCAGCCAAAATGATGATAGGCTTTGGAATTATTCACTTACTTGAACAGTTTTTTTCTATGACTTTTCAATGAGATAGTTTTTTTGCAAAAATCGATCTTCCCGGGCAATCGGGGATACGGAGTAAGTGAAGGGTTTAAGCAATAAATGGACAAATACATGTATATTATTCAGCAAGAAGGCGGCAACCATCCGATCAACCACATGTGAGCTCCGATTTCGAAATAAAACGACAACCGCATCTCTTTTTTATTTATTTAAAGTGAATTCTCTGCAGCAAATTGTTCAAACACTGTACCTAACGACATATAAATCAGAAAAGATTCAAAAACAGCTTAAGAAAAAGACAGATGATGAGCGAATCACAAATACAGAATCAAACACGAAAGTACAAAAAAGATTTCAGTCTGAATGAGTCAAATCCTTTGGTCGCATGTCGAGTAACAAAGCCAAACAGGTCATCATCACCGAAGCAATCTGAACAAAAAAAGCTGCTTAACTGAATATCGTACTCAAAAGACGTGTTTACCGTTAAAATGAGAGACTTTGTGACGAGAGCAAAGCCCCAAAGAGTGATCCCAACTGATGGTTGATCCAAGTGGATTGCCAATGTTGTGCCGATCTTTGAATACATAAAATGGGTTTTATTTAGCAATAAGTTCATCTACCTTGTGCACATTTTCATCATATGGTATCCAAACGTTTTCATTCATACACAGAAGATATTTCGATTTGTTCAACTAAAAAGATTTTAGAAAAATAGTGAAATGCTGAAGCTGAAAAGTAAGCTAATTTTGTTTTCTGTTTTTCTTTGAAATTTTGAAATAAAAAGAGCTTTACTTCAAAAGTCGCAAAAGTTCAATTTATGTTTAATCAAAAGTTCAATTTATGTCCAATTTATGTCCAATTTATGTCCAATTTACCTCTCCATGTAATCTCGCTGGATACATGATAACATACAGTTGATAAGCACAAAAAGTCATCGGAGAGACACTAAAAGTCACAAGCTTTTACCGCAAATATCAAAGCAGTAACATATTTTGAAAACAAACATTAGTTTTTTATATTATTTCTATTGGAAGTCCGTTAGCCAATGAAAAGCTAAAAAAAGTTACCTAAACGAGAACTCAATCAACGTTTTCCTTGAGATCACCAAGGCAAAAATCATCAACGGAATCGTACAGATTGTCGTCATGAAAGTATAAATCTAAATTATCACTTGCGATCTTTTTCCGAGAAAATCCTGGGTTGGCGCTTTAAAGTGTGGTAAAACTACCGTACCCCTCCTAGTTTGTGTGAAAATTCATTTTATTATTTTTTGCTTTTTTTTCAGCGTTTCAACGTTTTTTTCAACTAAAAAGTGACGAAAACAAAGCTTCGGTCATAGAAAATGATAAAAAGCACTTAACTTAACATTAGTTGGCATCAAGTTCGTGGAGCAGATCGTCGGGAAGCAAGTGGGTCTAAAAAAACTCTACAAACAAAGCTTCCGCCACAGAAAATGCTGTTAAAAACGTAACTTAGCTTTATCCTCGTTGCTTCCTGCAAAAACAAACGCGATCACATCAGAAAAATGCAAAAAGAATAAAATGAAATGAAGAAGAATGAAAAAAAATTAAATTTCACACAAACTAGGAGGGGTACGGTAGTTTTACCACTCTTTAAAGTGCTAAACCAGGATTTTCTCGGAAAATCATATGATTGACAAAAAGATGTGCCAGATTTTTCTCGGTCGCAAGTAAATTATCAACAAAACTGATTAAACTCGATCAAATTAAAGTTTACCCTATAAATCTCATCCATTTCCGTGACTAATCCACAAATTTTTGTGTGTAAACAGAGTAAACTTTCAAGTTTCGACTTTATCTCATCACTTGTCGAAGCTTTAAGCTAAATTTTGTTAGAGTTATTCAATTTTTTTTCTACGTACAACTTACATTTTTAATCGTATAGTTGAACTTTCTGACTTCTGAGTGCAAAAGATTTGTGATACTCAAGTAAATATGCATATCTGGATTGTCTGAAGCTGTTTTAAGATGAAAACGGTTTTTTTACTATGAGTAAGCACTAGCAAACACATATAGCCAAGCACCGGGCGAATGTATCGTAAAATTGGAAAATAGAAACTCTAAATGAAAAAGCAGGTATAGATTTGTTTTTTGATAGCAAACATATGCATAAGCTGGATTCATGATCGTTTCTATATATTTTGTCATAATTGCGATCAAATAGACGCTCATATTGACGACGGAATAGAGCTGAAAAGTTCTTTCGCACAAAATCATTTCGGATTTTCTCACTTGCATTCCCCAGAATTGTCGACGAGTTCGCCGGACAGCTGCTAGATGTCTCTGAATTTATTGTACTAGTTAACTCCCTCTAGAGTAGCGGAAATCAAGTACCCTGTGGCGTAATGGTTAGCACAGCTGGTAAGCGAAAGGTCTCGGGTTCAAATCCCGACGACGCACAAGTTTTTGATCTCCCCTAGTTTCAAGTTCCAAGTTCCAAGTTACTTAAACTAGTTCTAGCGTTATAAAACTTTCAATATAGTTTAGTACTTAAAGCAAAAGCCTAGGAAGTGAACAAGAAATGTTTTTATTTGAAAAACTTTAGCTCTACTTTAGCTCTACTTAAGCTTTAGTCGCATTAAATTCCGACCACTATTAAAAATTCACCTCATCAAGCTCAGTCACATCACGGATCTTCGAGTGATGATATAAATGAAAAAATGACTCAAAACGTAGCTTGTGTTGCCAGTTGACCAGAAGAAACTAAACGGAAATTTTAAAAAAAAACTTTCTTAAACTTGAACAAACCAATGAGAAAAGCGATTGCCAAGCGATCATCAGATAAATGATCACATGTGGAGCATGACTTGAATTATATTGAGTGATCAAGATATACAAATCGTAGAGAGTCGTGTAAATGCCTGAATGGAAAAGAATGAATTAAATTTCGTTTAAATGCAATGTTTATTTTTAACGAACGGACATATGATTGACAAAAAGATGTGCCATATTTTCTTCAACTTCAACGAAATCGGCGAATCTTTTGGATTTATTGTAAAAGCTATCCATTTGACAAGCTGTGAGTGTAAGTTTTAAGAAAATTCAATTTATACAAACGCACAAAATGAAACTCATCAAATTGTTTCTCAGTGGGATCGGTGAGATCTCGTTTCAACAAATAGCAACCATCATCAGCAAATAGGCGACTGTTTATGGCTGTTTTTGTGGACACATCTTGGTTGGCGTCGATTTTAAGAATTTCCTTTAAATGACACAACATTTAAATACTGTTTTTATAAATAAAAAACTTCATAAATCTAGCAAACTTTATCAAACGATTGCACCATTTTTTTTGATACAGGGTGCGGCATAGGTATGGTTACAAGGTTGTAACATTGATTTAAGAAACCGATTGATTTTTATATCTTGCCAAAGGATTATTTTTTTCTTAATTTGAATGCTTTTTTATATTATGTAGCAGTTTTTAAGCAAATTTTTAAGTTTGGACATAATGGTGAAGGCTTCTCCCAACCGTGCCCCTATTCTTCAGCTTGGAGCACAAGGACAATCAACTTCGGATATTGCCAAACTGCTGAAAATGCATCGAATGACGGTATACCGCATTTTGCAACAAAATAGAGTCGAAGAGCTTCCTAAAAGTGGAGGTCCGCCAAAAATTGATCACACGAGACTCAAGAAAATCATTAAGAAACAAATCAAGCGCAATCCTGCCCGGAGCATGAGAAAAATGGCTCCCCAATTGAATGTTTCTGATAGAACTATCGTCGTATTGTCAAAAAGGATCTGAGTCTTCACCCTTACAAGCTAAGGAAGCATAATGGCCTGACGGATCTTCAAATGAGAAACAGGAAGCAAAAATGTGCTCTTCTTCTTGCAAGGGCCGCAAATGATGAGCATCTGACGATGCTTTTTACCGACGAGAAATTATTCAACATTGAGCAAGTTTTCAACTCTCAAAATGATTGAATTTTGGCTCACAGCCCTCAATTAGCAAATAAAAGTGGCTGATTTGTGGACGGGAACTCAAATCCAGCAGGAGTCATGGTTTTTGCAGGAAGCAAAAATGTGCTCTTCTTCTTGCAAGGGCCGCAAATGATGAGCATCTGACGACGCTTTTTACCGACGATGTATGGTTACAAGGTTGTAACATTGATTTAAGAAACTGATTGATTTTTATTTCTTGCCAAAGGATTATTTTTTCTTAATTTGAATGCTTTTTATATTATGTAGCAGTTTTTAAGCAAATTTTTAAGTTTGGACATAATGGTGAAGGCTTCTCCCAACCGTGCCCCTATTCTTCAGCTTGGAGCTGAAGACTCAACTTCGGATATTGCCAAACTGCTGAAAAGGCAGTAGTTAAACAATCATTGATGCAAAAAAAAGAAAAAACAGAAGACGACATTTCCTAATTATACTATTGATTTTAAAGCACTTTGCTAGAATTAGGCGAGCTTTTTTAAGTTATAATTAATTAGTTATAATTTAAATCAATAAACTGACTAAACCTCACAGCAACCGCCGATTACTCACCCGTTGATATGACAATAAGTTATAATTAATTAGTTATAATTTAAATCAATAAATTGACTAAACTACAAGCACACAACAATCACCGATTACTCACCCGTTGATATGACAATCGACGTATTTTATCATCCATTTCCATTTTAGAATCAATGTCATTATTTGCGAGAGGATTCTCGATGATCATTCAAATCAAAAAAAAAAAAGAAAAAAGAAAAAGAAAATAGAAAAGCAGTTTTCTCTTTCTCAAATTTCTTCTCAGTGTCCAATTTCACAGTTCAATGAGGGGATTTTTCGAGACGAAAAAGCTCTGATTCGGATAAAAATAGGCTAATGGGATTTACGTTTATTTAATTAAATTTTATTTATTAAATTAATTTCAAATTTTTGTTTAAAGATACAACGATTAGACCGTCTTTAATATGAAAACCGGAAAAACGAGCTTGAATGTGACCTCTTTGTGCGTGTAGGCTTTCGCATAGCTAACTAGGGGAATGTTGTCAAGTTAAGGTGGGCTTTTCGAACGCGACCAAGCCTAGCTGATATAGTTTTTCACTTGACAACATTCCCTAAGAGTAAGAGCCCTTTTGCGATCCGGTATATCTCATCCGCTTTTTTTTAACTACAATTTATGTTCTTTGATTTTAGCAGTTTATTTATTTTGCCTTTTAGTTAATGCTTTGATCAAAAGTAAACATAAAAGTGTCTATAAAAATGTATCTAGAGGGATTTGAAAGCAGCACATGTTTTTGTTTCAGATAACTTTCATCAGAAAACGCATTTTTGCCTTAAATTCGCGCCGATTTTGATATTGATATTGACCGCTAAATTGAGAATTTGATTTGATAAAATCACAACATTTTGTCTACAATTTTTGTGTGAATTTTAAAGAAAAAAAAGAATTTTCTGCAACTAATTTTTATGCAATGTGGGCAAATTTATGCTATAAGATTGCAAACTTTTACACACAAATGAGATCATGATCACAAATGGGAGAAAAGACTAGACAAGAAAAGAAATTGGGTAAAATAATGGAATGTAAAAGCATCAACAAATGGGAAACCGGGTTGACTCGAGAATCACAAAAAAAGCTTGAAAGAAAAGAAACTGGGGCAATGGAAACTTGTGGAATCTTACGCCATTCACTTCAAGTGTGCTCAGCAAAATGTCGATTCGTTGTTTCAAAGACAATTTCGTCTGGCTGTTTACTAGAGAAGTGCAATAGGCCAAGATGGCCTTCTGTAATGAGACCTCATCTTACGCAGTTTTTCATGGACATTCCGAATCTGCTTTCAAAATCGACAAAACAGCTTTCTGGCAAAAGTTATGAGGATTTTAAGTTTCGGGCTGCCTCTACAAAGTTCTTTTCACTCTGCAAAACAAGTGTTCAGTGTTCTGGTGTCATAGTGGGTAAGAGCCTTGTGTGTAAAAAGGACCTATAGACTTTTTACAGTTACCGGCGAAACTTCTGGTATGCTCCTTCTGAGTCGATATGGGTAAAGTTGATCTGCCAGATCATTCACGGTTGTGTGCGCACACAAAAAACAAAAAAAACAAAAAGTTTTTTTTGCAAGAGGGATCGAAGCCAGGCAAAGAGGATATAGGCGATCTTTGATATAAGGCTCTTACCCACTCCGCCACTAGAACACTAGCTTCGCAGAGTGAAAGGGACTTTGTAGAGACAGCCCGAAACTTAAAATGCTCATAACTTTTGCCAGAAAACTGTTTGCCGATTTTGAAAGCAGATTCGGAATCTCCATGAAAAACTGCGTAAGATGAGGTCTCATTACAGAAGGCCATCTTGACCTATTGCACTTCCCTAGTTAGACCAGAAGTCAGGCTTGGTCAATAAAAAGTTGCCGAAATCTAAGCCAGACTGACTTCGGGTTGGGACATCACTAGCATGTAGTGATCCGCGTAAAATCCACATGTCCCAAAAATATAGTACCTAGAAAAGTTTCCGCGTTTACTCTTTCGGTTTCTCTCTCGTTTTCCTCTGTTTTGTCGTCGTTTCGATTTCGGCCAAAAGTTGATCGATGTCCGCATCGCTGAGACGATTCACCGCGAAACCTTTGTAGGTTCGCAGTAAGCAGATTAGTTCACCTGATGAGAAAATGGGTTTTTCTTTTTAGATAATCAAAGTCCATGCTTATTGTTGAATTTAAGAGTAAGTTTTTCACAAAAATGAGTTTTGAAAAATTCAATTTTATCATAAAATCCTTGAATCCTTGGGTCTATTGGTTTCAATATCTAGTTTCAAAGTTTGTAAAGTTCTAAGAAATTTAAAGTTTATCATGAACAAACCCTCATCATCAGGCTCAACATTGACATCAACTCGATACCGTCGACCTGGATGTATCCACTGAGCCATGTAGAGATCAGCGTTGTCGGTCGTTCGCTCCAAATGCAAATGGGTGATCCCATCAAGTCCTGGTTGAGCTCCTGGGATATTGATTATATAATGAATTTCTTTTTTAAAAATATATACCGTAAATAGTACCCCACCGCCCTCGTACAGTCGCGTAGTCGCAAAAGTTTTTTAGTATTTCATTGTTTTTCAAAGCGCCCATACTTTCAAAAAATGCGTCTTTGGTATCAAAAAATAGCTGAAATTCAGGGCTATTTTTGATATCTAAGCGCGCATTGTAGCATAAACCAGTGTCGAGAAAAACTCGTTCAAAGCTAGACTACGCAACACTCCGCACCGTCATTATGGGGCTGGGGTACTATTACAGTATTTACGGTAGCTGTTCTGAAGATGACGTACCGATTTCAATGATCGGTTCACCGATCTGCGTGGGGACAGGCCGCTCTTCGACCACTTGCCAAACGGCGAACGGATTTGTTACAAACTCTGGAAAAGTTTTGAATGTAAAAGTTTCTGAGAAAAGATAATAAACTCTGCATTTATTAGGGTGGTGCAAAAGAAACTGCCGATTTGACGGTAAATTCAAAAAAAAGATGGCGTTCGATGGTGACATGATCACAATGGAATATTTTCGCAAGATTTCGAGCAGATTGGCATGGATCGGCCTGAATAACGTCCCTCAGCTTGGCTTCGTTCACGACTTCTGACCTCGAACCGTGCTCGTCATCTTCTAAAGTCTCGTCTCCCTCTCGGAATCGTTGAAACCAAGTCTGATACTGCCTGAGAGACAAACTGCCATCTTCAAAAGCAGCACAGAGAGAACGATGCGATTCGGCAGCAGACTTTCCAATTTTGAAGTTAAACAGTAATGCTGCTCGTAGTACAAACTTTTGCTCGACCTTGATCTAAATAAAAATAGAAGCACTTTTAAATAAAATAAACAAGAACCAAAAAATTCAAATGTTGAAATAAATAGCAAACAAATATGCGAACAAAACATAAAAAAAATAATGCCGTTAGCATCGCTCGTTTCTGATAAATGAGAGCTGATACCCATCGGCAGTTTCTTTTGCACCACCCTAATAGAATAGGATAGAGTCTCATGACATGGGGATCCCTTGGCTCAGTACTGGGATGAGGCAGGCAGTTATGCAAAATTCATGTCGCCTCGCGCCTCTCCCTTTCCCTAGTAATCTAGTGAAAGTTAAATTTAGTACCTTAATAGAATGGTAAAAAGTTAAGAAAGTGGATAGAAATTATAAATTGCAGAATCTAACCGTCATACTCGTTTTGTTCCCCGCTTTCTCGCTGACTTCTCGGATTGCCCTCGTCGGTTTTTGTGGGCTCTCTTTGAGTTTTCGATTCTTCTAAATTTAGCACACAATTGAATACAATCTTTTTGCACAAACACTCGCAAAAACTTTCCCGAAATTCACTATCGTTTTTACCAGGCTAGCTCAGTTCAAACCTGGCGCAAGGAGTCCATCGTGTTCCTCGTCCAAAAACGGATCATCCTCAAAGAATTCACTCAATCCATCACTCTTCACATTTCGTTTTACCTAAATTTTCTTGGAAAGTATTTTTTAAAAATAAAATATTATAAGACTAAGTGCTAAAAAGTGGTCTCAAAAAATTTTCAAAAGCTAGAGTGATAATTGCTGAAATTTTTGTGCAGAAAAGTCGCCTTTTTTGTTGTAAAAACTTTATTTTTAAAGATGTCGAAGGACAAAAATCTTTTCGCCTTGTTTATTTCTTTTTTCATCGGGTGCATTCAAAAACTCATTTATCGGTTTCCACACGAAGAGCTTTTCCGTATTTCTCACGGGTGCTTGTCCACTCTGAAATGAGCTTTAGTGCTCTAGTAAAGCTATTGTAAAGCAATACTATGTTGGGATCAAAAGTATTTAAGGTATAATTTGTTATTTGTTACTTTAACACTTCCGGGAACACTTTAACACTTCTGGGAGCACTTTAACACTTCCGGGAACACTTTAACACTTCCGTATTTCTCACGGGTGATTGTCCACTCTAAATGAGCTTTAGTGCTCTAGTAAAGCTATTGTAAAGCAATACTATGTTGGGATCAAAAGTATTTAAGGTATAATTTGTTATTTGTTACTTTAACACTTCCGGGAACTTTCGGTATCTCGTTGTTAAAGGCGGCCGCAGATAGACCATTGATTCCGATCATTCGATTGATCATCTGAAAATTCTTTACATGCTAGCTATTAAACGGTGACTCTAAAGCTCTTGTTCATTGCGGTAATGTTAAAAATATTGAGATAACTCTTTCAATACTCTTATCTTTCAAAAACCTTCAAGTAAACCCACGTTCAATTGCGCATTCGTTTTCCCAACTCCTTTCACCGAAGTGATTGTTTTGCCGATTCCTTTCGGGAAGGGAATCGTCTAAATCTACAAATGTATAATCAATGAATAGAAATTTGAAAGATGTACTTGATTTGTCGAAGTGGAGGAAGTGGATGCGTTTGTCTCTGCAACAAAAGTCTCTACAGGAGTTGCCTAAATCTGGAGTATGCAAAGAAGATATCGAAAATTTTTGTCAGAATCGCAGAATGGAAATGATTCTTTCTGGTGAATGAGATTCAAGAATCATGAAGTGCACCAGGAAGAACGTGTTCCAGGAAGAACAATTCATAGTTCAAGGCACAATAGCTCGTCTACCTGTTTGTTCGTCGCATCCAAAAATGGTTGAAGAACTCGCTCTTCTGTAGTCAATCCCGGGGTAATCTGAATCAATCTTTATCAAAGCAAAATTTGTTTTGATCACTTTTGGATCGGTATACATTTTCTTCAAATCCTCGTCCAGTTTTCGGGTGATCCGAAGATTGCTAAAGGTTTGAATTGAAAATTTTCTCAGAATGGCATAATGGAAATGATTCTTTCTGGTGCATGAAATTCAAGAATCATGAAGTGCACCAGGAAGAACGTGTTTACAATTTATAGTTCAAAGTACAATAGCTACCTGTTTGTTCGTCGCTAAAGGTTTGACTTTAGCTGAAAGAAAGAAAACTCATTAAAACTGACTTTCGTTGATCGTTTTCGTAGACAAATCGACATTGAGAGGGGAGAAAAGTGCCAAAAATAGCGCCAAGTGGTTGAGTGTTGTCAAGGGGACGAATGAGTGCCTCCTGAATTTCGTGTTAAAAAGTGAAAACTAAATCTGATGATTTTACGACTAAAGGACAGCTATCTAACAATAACACATCAAAGTTAACTTTAAGCTAGTAAACTTTGCATCAGAGCTGTTTAAAATCGTAATTTCCCGGCCCAGGACAAGCCAGATTATTATAAAACAAATCCCATCTAGGCAAGGCCACATTTCTTTTGTTTTGATATTTTAAGCTTTGTTAGGCTTGGTGTTGTGCTTATTGATTACTAGAGTGTTTTCCTCGGGAGTAAGTAATTACTCGAGTAAATTTGCATGAGTAATTGTCGAGTAATGCGTTTTCTAAAAAGTGCGCCTGCGCGAAAAAAATACAAAAGCAATTTTTTGCGCAGGTTTTAGGGTAGGCTAGTTTCCGCAAATTTCTTTGAGCAACAGGGTCATTTGCACAACTGGGTCGTTTGCGCAACTCGCCAAAACTTTCTTTTAAGTGAACCAATCTTTATGATGTTGGTTTCATTTTGTTGCACTTATTGAGATCTACAAAATGACACCAAAATCATAAAGATTGGTCCACTTGGAAGAAAGTTATGGCGAGTTGCGCAAACGACCAAGTTGCGCAAAAAAAATTGCGGAAACCAGCCTACCCCCAGGTTTTTCAAAAAAAAAATCATTTTTTACATTCGAAGGGAATTTCCCACCAAACCAGTTAAACGGCTGAGTATCTTTAAAAAGTGTCGTGTATAATGCGAGGCTCGTGATTTTTGCGTCATTTTTTTGCAATAATTTTTTCCCAAGTTTGCGTTTTAAAAAACGCATTACTCGTGAGGAAAACACTCTAAAGATTACCATTTAAAATCTAAGCCTACCCTCTTCTTCGTACAGTTTGCTAAATGCTCTACTCTACATTTGATAAGTCTAGTTCAAACCGATAGCAAGCTGCCGGCCGCTCCATCGCAATGCGCATCGAATTTATTTTTGTAGCACCCAAGCAAACATTGCCCGATTCTAAATTTGCATTCTAATGAAAAAAATGAATGTAAAAGGTTTTGCGTTCAATAGTATAATTCAATCGCTAGAGCTCTCCACCTGCACGTCTCCGAAACGACAATGTTAATCATTTGTGGATCGATGAAATTCTTCATGAAACCCTCGAATCCCTCGCCCAGACCGCTGAGCGTTTCCTAAGTAGTCAAAAGTTTTTAAAAAAACTTTGCAATTTAGTACTATCTGCGGCATCTTACAAGTTTCCCCCATTCCTCACCTTTGCTGTCAATCCTGCAAGCAACGCTTGCGTGTTGCACTCTTGGTCGCACTCTACATTTTGATTTTGATTTTGATTTGTTTTAAATCTTTTCTTAAAACAAACCTTGATAGACTTGATCATTCACTTTGTCCATGCAATTTGAATTTGCATCGAAAGCTGTAAGAGTTTTAGTTGTCTTTCAAGAGGATAGATTTTTGGGATCATGAAGTTTGCGCCACGAATCTTGCGCCGCGCTGTCAAAAGTGAAAGTTGCGCCACGGGAAGTTTGCGCCATTAAACAAAGCGAAACTTGTGCTGCTAGTCAAAAGTTAAATTTGCGTCATTTTCTTTCAACATTTACGTTTTTACGTTAAAATCCTTCAGATTTCTACCAATATTTTCGTGATAACTATATTGGAAAGTGGATCGCCTTTCATCTGCTGGATATCCAATCGCGGGTTGGGGCTCTCGTGAACGCATTTTTTCTGGTCTTTCGTTAGACAACTCCACGCAAAAGTCCTATAATGCTCGGGGTTAAAAGTTAGTTTTTAAATAACATAATAATTTGATTCAGGGAATTACAAATAAATCGGCTGTGCAATTTGTTGCTCAAAAGCTCTTTCAACATCAGAAGGATTTTAAAGCTTTATATGATGAAGCCTCAACTAAGCAACTTAAAATCTGTCAACTTTTTCCCCAACCTAAGCACACGTTGTTAATTTTCACTCTCGTCGATTGCTCGTTATGATAAACGGTAATTTTCAACGTTTAAGTTGCATTGTTTGCCTGAATAGCTTTTCTTTGTATGTTGGCCCTACAATTTGAGCTTTTCTGGTGCTTCTTGTGTCTCCGCTGTTATTTTGTTATTAAGGTATTTTGATCTTTGCATTGTTATTACCGTATTTTCTCTAATAGTAGTACACCCGACCGAGCCGAGTTGATGACTATTTTACAGTTTCCAAGTTTTCCCAGAAGCTCAACACTCAAATCCCCCACTAGACCTCATCGTCAGCTACATTTTCCGACCCCACATCGATAGGTTCTGATAAGCGGTTCTCGAGATTTCGAGCAATTTAGGCGACGTTCAGGGTGCACTACTATTAGAGAGAAGACAGTATATTTTTATGATAAACGTTTTATGGTTGATGTTGGTTATTGAGCGAGATAAAATACGCAAAAAGTAAAAAAAAGTAATGGTGGCGCACGTTACACTTTTAAGCTTATGGTGCAAGTTTCGCCGGCACAAAACTCGTCACGCAAGCTTTGTTTTAAATTTTTCACAAATTCGCAGCGCAAGAATCGCGATTAACACAGGCGGCGCAAGATTCTTGGCGTAAGCTTCATGATCCCAGATTTTTGAAGCTTTTCCCTGAAACCATGTTTTTAAATATTTTTAAAAAATCCTTTTTGAGGAAAGCCGAGGTTTTTCGAAATGGAGACGTTAAATTTTAATGCTTTTTTGAACTCACCGCGTCGCTGTTCAATGCACATGTAACGAACTCCAGATGTGGTTGTGTAATAGAAATCATTTCGCGGGCAATGAGTCATCTCTTTCATGCACGACTCGGCTATTTCAAACTGGCTAAAAGACACAAAAATATTAAAAAGATCTTAAACACAATGGAGAAAAGAGCTGCAAGTTCAGCGGTGATTTTTCGTTCCCTGATGTTATAAATTGAAAAAGTTCTATATGAAATGATAGCTTTCAGCAAAAGTCTCACCCGCAAGCATCCTTCAAACGATCCGTGTTCGACCCGGCGAGCACAACCGCATTGATGACCGGCATAACAAATTCAGAACACGCAGATAAGCAATCGGACGGCGGTGGAGGTGGGAGAGTTGGGCTGAAATACTTTATTAGCCCAAATATTATTAGCAAATCTAGGGTAGAGATTTCTATGATCGCAGCTAATTGATTACAATAAAACCTACAATAAAACAGGCTTTTCCGGGTTCAAGGGTTTCTGTTGGAGCTCGATCAGCTTTGGAGCTTGTTGGAGCTCGATCTTCGGTGGATTCCAGATTGAGAACTCGAGGAGTTGATCGATCGGTGTTTTTTGAGCCCCAGGCGACAAACCGACTGCTGAAAGTTGGGGGAAATGAGTAAAAGTATTTGCTTTTGGATTTCTAAATATAAAAGAAGTTTTTACCTGCTTTTCCATTTATCGTCGGGATGAAGCAAGAAACGACTAGAAATATATGAAAGCGATTGCTCATTTAAGGATCTGAAATGAGTAGCTTTTTTCTCTCGATTTACAATAGTTTCAAAAACAAAGATAGATTCGAAATGAGCAATAGCTTAAAAGCCACATTGACAGGCGTCAATACGCGTATGATGAGTGGTGGTAGGGGGAGACACCCGAGCGCTGAGGTCCAAGGACCACACCACGTTCCATCCTTCCACCACTCAACTTATGGACTCATGAGTCTTGAGTCTCCCTAAAAAAAAAGAGATCCACCCAATAAACCCTCGTCAACAGCCACCCCAGTCGGTTACGAGTCTCAGCGGGCGGAAAAAAAAACAAAAACCACAAAGTATCGCCTTTCCACAGCAGCTTTTCCCCCTCGAGACAAAGCTCGATCTCATTTTAAAGGATTGCAACAACACATACTCACACGCTCTACACGCAAAAACAGCTGTGCGTTTGTTGAGATTTTAACCAGCAAACAAAAAAGGGTATTTGAGAATCTAGTGGGTGAAAACGAAAACTTGCATACTTTTCTATTGATCCTTTGTCTACCAGATTACTGTAATGGAATCGTACACAAATTTCACCCAAAAATCAGCAAAACTTTTAAAAAAGCCGAATTTAAAAAGCCAACAAGAAATCCCTTCGTCGTGAGGCTCAATACTTTTGATCTCCAATATGTTATGTCTCGTGCGACGGACAAGAAGAATTGATTCATCGTTTGGATAAATGTTCAAGAGTTTCTAAATTTATCTAACCAACAAGCTTCAATGATGTTACTAGTTGTGCTTTGACGGGTCTTTCCACACCACGTAAAGCCCATAAAGAAAAAATTGTGCACAAATGAGCCCCTGGGGGAGTCATACGTCCTTTCGCGTGGCCCATAGTGGAGGTACTATTCGCGTGTGGAACCCTTTTAGTTGCTACAACTTTAAATAAAATCGAAGAAAGACGCATGTAATTGTCTGTTCAACGTCAAATTGCTTGTGTAATTCTTGTGTGCCCGAAAAGCTGATTTAGTTTAGTATTTTATTCACAAATAATCTAAATAGTACAAACATCGCTACGAGACTTTATCACTTTAGAACCCAAGAGAATATAACAAAATCAGACAAAATAAAAAATAAAAAAAGTTATCGCAAGGTTTTTCTTGCCAAATATTTACAAAAGAAGTTTAATAATCGAGCCTAGAAATTTTTGGAGTCGCCTACAAAAAGGACGTAAAAATCATTTGGCAAGTTAACTATCCTGATATTGAAAACTGAGACTAAACAATCGATGAATTAGGCAAACATGCGTCGATCCTTGTTTTTGGTGAACTTCTCGAAGAGAGCGTCGATCTCGGCGCTCACATCCTAAATGGGACAATTTATGAGCTCAAATTTTTACGTTTAGAACCTATAAGCCCTTTATTTTAAGAATTTATTTGACTTATAAAAGCAAATAAAATATCCCAATGTACTTTCTGGATTGGGCAACTAGCAAAAATACGTAAGTTCAGTAATAATTAGCAAAAAATACCTTGATGGGTCTGGAAGCATCAAAAGCCGTGTGGACTCCTCGTTTCTGATAGTATCCAACCAGGGGTGACGTCATTTCATGATATTGCAACAATCGTTTCCTCAGCGTTTCTTCGTTGTCGTCCGAGCGCTTGATCAACGGTTCACCAGTGAGATCATCCTTACCGGCCACCTAAAGCAGAAGTGTAATCAAGGTTTACAGAAGCTTTCTTATAAAATCTAGTATCAAGTTTATATAGCCAACAACAAAGTTTTCTGTAACTTTTAAAAAATAAACCTTTGGTGGATTGAACTCGACGTGATACGAACGACCACTCTCACGATGGAAAAGACGGCCAGTGATACGTCGCACAAGGAGATTGTCGTCGATTTTAAATTCAACAACGGTATCTAGTGGTGTCTTTCGTTTCTCGAGGAGGGTGTCCAACTTTTGAGCCTAAAATGTACGTTAATATAATTTAATGAAATCTGCCACAAAACACTTTATTTTGTTGATAGAAAAACATTGAATGTGCGGTACTACCAATAGATCTTTCAACTTCAATTAATGAAAGGTCTCCTTAAATACCGGTTAATCTTGGTTGTTCTAAAACCGCATAAGAAATAAACTCATAATGCGGGGAACGACAACCATTAATCTTGTTAAAGATAAATATATAGTAAGCGTACCTGGACAGTCGTTCGTGGAAATCCATCAAGAATGAATCCCTTCGCGCACTCTGGTTTGTTCAAATGATGATCGATGAGCTCACAAACGGTTTCGTCACTCACGAGCTTCCCTTCGTCCATCGTCTGTTTTAAGTTCCTCCCCAGCTCGCTTCCAGAAGCTACCTAAATATACACAGAATATTCGTTTACCAAAAAAGTACCTCACCTCAGCCCTCAACATATCACCGGTTGCCAGATGGCACGACTCGTATTTCCTCGATAGATCTCCAGCTTGCGTGCCCTTTCCAGCTCCAGGGGGCCCAAGTAGGATGGCACGAATTCCTCGAGTCAACTAAAAAGAAAAAATAATCTTGTGAATAATGTAAAATCTAAATTCGAAGCTGTTTGGCTCACAATAGACGCTAACAAAGCTGATAGAGAATAAACAAGATATCTAACATTTCACCCACGCTTAGAAGTTACTAAAAAACTGTTTCAATTTACGCAATTTCAGAATATAAACCTTAATACTTTACAAACAATTCCTATCATTTCACAAGCGGAAAACAAACACACCCCATCTATTGAGCCTCCAGTTTTCTTTTCCTCGTGTGGTTGCTCGGTGTGGGCGACCTTAGGTGCCATACCTGTAAATAGAAAATTGAATACGTGACACAGACGCAAAATCGTTAAAGAAAGTTTTAGAAAAAAAAACATTAAGCGAAAATTATTATCAACGAGAGAAATCTCAGAAGAGAGTGTGGGGTTAAAATTCGAGATGAGATAAGGGGTGTTGGGGAAAAGCTAAAAAAATACGTCAGTCTAAATGGCACAAGGTCCCTATATCGATTTTCTCTGAACAAATAGTGGCTAAAATTTGAAGAGAATCGTCTAAAGCTACAAACTAGAGTTGAAAATTGAATTTTAGCGGGATTAACAGGAAAAAAATTGGCATCTTTAAAATTTTTAGTGATTCCCAACTAGTAACATGTGCGTATAGGACGTAAAAATAAAATATTGAATTGAAAATTAAAGATTGAGCAGTAAATTCTTAATTTTGCTAAAGAACTTGTGAAAAAATGGCGATAGAAAAGAAAAATCGTAGTTCTATACCGGTCTTCTCGACAGACTTGTTAATTTAGAAAGTCCACGTTTTAGTGTGTACTGGTTGCGTTTTGTGGGGGAAAGGGGGAGAGAAATTGTCGGGGGTGGGACAAATGCGACCTTTTTTTGCGCACCTGGACATTTGCGCACCTTTTTTTTGCTGGAAAAGGCCTTAGGAAAGGTCGTAGAGCTTCAAAAATGTTTTCATAGAAGGGAATCGTATGCGTAGATTCAGAATTTTGACAAATCAAACCTCGCTGACACGTCAAATTTGGACTAAAAGGCAAAAACTAACTAATTGTCTCAAAAATTGCCCTTGGCTCAAATAAGTTGTTTGATTCGAAAAAGGAAAATAATAGTCAATTATTGATTGAAATTATTTTTTTGTGAGAATTGTGTAGAGTGTCGATTGTTTGTTCAATGCAATGCACTGTTAGGCGTCCTTGTAGATTAACCACAAAATTATCCTCGTGAACCCAATTTCACTTTACAATCCCACCACTTTTACTTCTCCCTCTTTTTTTTTTGTTAAATCGAGAAATTTCCGCTGAACCCTCAGCACAGGAAAAACCGCCGAAACCATTTTCGGTGTCCCTTCCTAAATTCTTCCCCATTTCCTTTTCCCCCAGCTCACATCCATGTCTGCGATCCTGCACGGTCGGACTGAAACTGGGTAAAAGCCGGGAGTTTTCATTCTCATTCCTTTCTTTCATTCAATGACCGTCCCCCTTTTTGAAGCAAAAAAGCACTTTTCTCGATTTGATCCTGAAAAAAATTTGGAGAATAAAAGTGAAAATTAGTGGCTTCATAATGGCTAACGACGGAGATTAGCATTTTTTAGTGATTGTAAAGGAAAAGTTTATTGGTGTCACCATTAATCGGGATTAGTTTAGACTGTACTTCTTGGTAAATGTCCAAAATCCGGCGTTATCTTTGATTCTTCAATACTGCGTCCAAATTGATTTGACAACTTTATGCAATACCCACTTTAGTTCATGAGGCTGGAGATTCTTTGAATGATCAGCCAACGAGACTAGCAATCAATAGTCTTTACATCTTTCAATAAAACAAAAGATATTCAGTCTTAGAATCGGTGAAGATTTCACTTTCCACTCTAGCAAACATAAATAAGCAAACATAAAACTCTAGCAAACATTTAACCCGTTCAAAAATTGTTCAATCTTTTCGAAATCCCTTCAATCTCGATCTTTACACCATGATGGTCTTCAGGAAACGCCTCAGTTTTCATCCCGTTTTCTTCCCACGAAAAAAACTTATAAAAGGAGACCAAAAAGTGAAATCTTTCCTTTATCCAATACTAAATATTTTTCTTTTTTTCGGGAAAAACCGGAAAAAATCGACACGAGAAAAGTGTGAGCCTCGAGAAGAGAAAAAGATTGAAAGGGGAGATTGTGGCCGAGTTTTTCTCTGAAATTAGGCGCTTCTTCAAAGGGGTGATCGAGTCGATTTCAAGAGTTAGAAAGATTTGATTGTTTAAAATCTTTATATTGCTCAAGCATTATTGTTTGCTATTATTGCTCAAGTACTTTTTGTACTTTATGCTCAAAGGGATAAGCACATCCCTTCTAGTGTAATGCTCTCTTTTCTTAAAGCTGATAGTGAGTTGCCAAGAGATGTTTTCAGTGTGCCAGAAGGGGTGTGCCGAAGAGCCGGCCAGCGTTCAACTTTTCAAAGAAAACCCCAGAAATTTCCTCAAAACCTCAAAAGCTAACATTTTTCGCAAACCCTCAAATAGGAAAACGAACGAATGAAATGAAAATGAGTGAATGAATGAATCAAGCGTCGGTACATTCATCCAATTTGCGAGGATCGGATTGGGTAAAATTTGTGTCGTCATTATCAATGAAAAGAAAGAAAAAGACGGTCACACTGCCCAATGAATGAAGGAAAAGAAGGGGATGGAGATGGCAATACTCTGTCTCATTCAACCTTCAATGACTAACAGATTTTTCTACGAAAGCAAAAAGTGTTTTTTTTGGCGCTTTAAATGCTCTGAAAATGTTTTGATAGTCTATTTTATTTTAAAGAAGATCTTTTGAGAAGGGGACGAGAAATTTTCTTTTCTTCAAAAACAGAATTTTCTTCAAAAAGGATCATGACATATGTCAAAGGAAGGGATTGGAAAAACTTTAAAAATTAATTCAGATTTTTGGACTTTGAAACTGATGTTATTGTATGAATTGCTAACATCAGCTCATAAACAAATTTAAAACTTTCTCAACTGAATAATTTGAATTATTGATCAATCTTTCAATACCAGTAGCTAGGACTTGACTGCTTACTAATAAAGAGTGCGGCGAAAGTTCTGGCCTTTTTAGAATTCTCCTAAAGCTTCTGATTGTTATTATTTCCTAAGTGTTTATACCCAAAAGATAGCCAATCTTTCACAGAATTTAAATCTTTTTACCGTTTTTAAATAGCTCCTTTAGATTTTGAGTTATCACAATTTTTGTGAGCTCTGTAGTATTAGTATTATCAGGATAACCACAGAGCTCACAAAAATTGTGATAACTCAACATCTAAAGGAGCTATTTAAAAACGGTAATAAGATTTAAACTTTGTGAAATATTGGCTATTTTTGGGTATAAACACTTAGGAAATAATAACAATCAGAGAGCATTTAATTAAAGTGAATTTTAAAAAGGACCAAATTTTCGCACGCTGTACAAAACGCAATAAAATAAAGTAATAAAACGAAGATCTAGAAGATTTTTTGAAGGAAACCTAAAAATATTCTAATAAAACTATCCAAAAGAAATCTTTTGTATTGTGCAATTTTAATAATTGTCAAATAAATGTTTCGTGTTTCTCAAAATAAACTTTTGCTTTCAGCGGAAATACGAAAACTCTTTTTTTTTTGTTTTTATCTGGCTTGTTTTTCTCTTTTAACCTTGTCTATTCATATCATCAGCCACTATCAAAGCCATTCTTTAAAAAAATGAGTCTGTGGATGAACGTGGATGGTGAGAAGTTCTCCTTTTCGCACAGCACAGCGCTATCCCTCAAAACTTCAAGGAGGGAATTCAGGTTCGGAAACGGCTTTGACTATTGTGGCAAGAAAAATGATTAATTACAATTTTATTCTTTCAAAAGTATTTAACTATATAAGCTCTAGTTTATACATTTAATTATACAGTTGATCGAATCAAGATCAAGACTTGTTTAGACGATCTTTCAATTGACAACTTCTTAAGAAAAGTAAACTGTTTGTGAAAAGTGAACTATTGTTTTGTTTTTTATTTGAACTGTAAAGAAATCTAAATAAGAATATGCTTATTCAAAGTACAAAAGCACTTCATTTATTCATTTACATTACATTTATTGGGTTGGTGAATTGAAAACTGCCGGCTATTGTCATATGTGACAGTTTGAGCACTTTCTTCAAAAGAAACCCATTTTGCTGTCAATGGAAAAGTTGTAGAGAATCAAAAATGCAGCTTATATCCAAATTTTCACAACGATTCAAAAACTGGCTTTCAAGAAATGCGAAATTTACGAATTTTCACAAAACTTGCATTTTAAGCGAAACTACTAAGTGTATCTTTTTGGAAATTTGGCTATAAGCCTCATTTTTGATTCTCTACAACTTTTCTATTGACACCAAAATGGGTTTCTTTTGAAGAAAGTGCTCAAACTGGGACACTGGGACATCTCCAGTCCTCCATTTTTGAGTCTCACACTTGTCTCACACACAAACCAAAATCCTACCACGAAAGAGGAATCCGCAAATTGCCAATAAAATGGGCAGAAGTCGTCAATAATAATGGAAATTATTTGGAATGAATTTATGGTTGTATGTTGAATAACTTTTACTTTTAGTTCAAAGTCCCGCAGTTTTCAATTCAATTCAGCAAAACTGACTCGCTCTAAAATAAATAGCCTTGTTTGAGAACTTTTGGCGTATTCCCCATACAGTCCGGACCTCGCCTCTTTCGATTACTATTTATTCCGGATCATGAGTAATGAGCTTGCGGGAGAACACTTCGATTCGGAAGAAGCAGTCAGAAATTGGCTTTGAAAGTTTTTCGATTCAAAGCCAAAACCCTACCACGAAAGAGGAATCCCAAAAACGCCTGTAAAATGGGCACAAGTCGTCAATAATAATGGAAATTATTTGGAATGAGTTGATCGTTTTATGTTGAATAAATTTTAGTACAAAGTCCGGCAGTTTTCACCAACCCAATACATTCATCATTCACTTCATTTATTTGTGGAAAACTCAAATTGAACTTCAAAGTTCAGTCTTGTCTATCACTGAAATCCCAAAAATACTTCAAGAAACCGATTTTTTATACACACAAAAAAGCCTTTCATCATCTCAAATTCCTCGCCAATTGTCTCTCAACGGGGTGGCTTCTTTATAAAAGGGTGAAATAGTCGAGTATTGGAGGGGGGGAGAGACCCGTTTTCAGGGGTGGCAGTGCTGATCTCCTTCTTTAGTCCTCCACCTTCCTTCCATCCAGTCCTTCCTTCATCCTTCAATCAGATTGATCAGAAGCCCTTTTTCTTTTCCTTATCCATATCCAGATACCAGAAAAGGGAATCGGTCTTTTTTTTCTTTTCTTCGAGGGATGGCTCGCGGCTTAGTGAGTCCGATCCGAGTATAAAGGCCGCCCCCTTTCGATTCGAAGACTAGGTTTGGGCGGGTTGTGGTTGGAGAACCCATTTCAAGACATTTCAAGCAGATCTCATTCACTCAGCCACAACCCTCTCCTTCATTCATTTCTTAATCACAAGCTTCTTATAAGCCTGAATTTGCTTTTGTGATAACTATCTTTATTGCTTCTTCTTCTTCTTGAGATTCTTCTTCTTCTTAACAAGCCTTAGCAAACCTTAGTTCAGCTTAAAGCTGATTGAATATCTGCAAAGTTTTATAGAATCTTCAATTACATAGCATGGTTACCCAGTTTGCTTTCTTGTGTTAAAGTTTCGTTGAACACTTTCAATCATTATACAACAACGCTTTTTTCAATTCTTTAATGATTTTCTTTAATGATTCAATTTTTAAAGATCATCTTACTTTACTTGATAATACTTTTCCATTGCAGACACATCTCATTCTGGGATGGACTCGGAGAAAAGCGGTGATGGCCGCACAAGGGCCTACAAATTTGTCGCCTACTCAGCAGTCACTTTCTCTATTGTGGCTGTGTTGAGCGTCGTTTGCACACTACCTATGGTCGGTTTTTTAATTTTTAAAAAACTTTTCTCAGCTGTTGATCCTTTTCTTAAGTTTTCTTTTCCTAGTCTTCTGTAGGTTAACATTTTTCCTTGTATTGGACAACGACTCACTGTTATTTACCGTCTCTGAAATCTCTACATTATCCTTATGTATTAATATTGAAGTAAAATTTGAAGATAAGACTAGAACCTTAGACTTGCGTCATCTAATTGCAAGAAGAATTTCTAGGTGTACAACTACGTGTCACATGTGAAGAGACAAATGCATCATGAGCTCTCATTCTGCAAGGTTAGTGGAGAAATTGGATTGGAATTTGGACTGAAATAATTAATAGCTTCTTGTAAAACAATTTGGACTGATAGAACTAGCTTCTTGTAAATGAAATCTAAATTTTATTTAAAGAAAATCATTCCAGGGATCAGCTAAAGATATCTTCGCTGAGGTAAACATTATGAAGAGCGTCGGTCCAACCCCACCACGAAACCGAACCACCCGTCAATCTGGATATGGAGGACCCGAAGTAAACTCGAACCCGAACTTGCAATGTGAGGGATGTTGTCTGCCCGGACCCCCTGGACCACAAGGAGCTTCTGGAAAACCCGGAAAGCCTGGACGCCCCGGAGCTCCTGGTACTCCCGGAATCCCCGGAAAGCCACCAACGGCCCCATGCGAGCCATCCACTCCACCACCATGCAAGCCATGCCCACAAGGTTTGAGAAAAATGACCAATGTAATTTATTGTTCAATCTAGGACCACCCGGACCACCTGGACCTCCCGGAGCTCCAGGAGACCCAGGAGAGGCCGGAACACCAGGGCGTCCTGGATCCGATGCGCCTAATGGACTTTCTGGACCACGTGGACCACCCGGACCCCCTGGTGATGCTGGACAACCAGGACCTGCTGGAGAGCCTGGAACCCCTGCCCAAAGCGAACCACTTGTTCCCGGAGCTCCTGGAGAGCCTGGAGATGCTGGTAAGTTCTAGTTTCTTAAAAAGGAATGCACTAGTAGACTTACCGTAACCCTATCTTATTAAAAAGCAACTTTTAGGACCACCCGGACCACCTGGACCCCCTGGATCACCAGGAAACGATGGACCTCCAGGCCCACCTGGACCAAAGGGACCTTCTGGACCTGATGGACCACCCGGAGTCGACGGACAGCCTGGACCTCCAGGACCCGCTGGACCAGCCGGTACAGCTGGAGAGAAGGGAATTTGCCCGAAATACTGCGCGATCGATGGAGGAATCTTCTTCGAGGATGGCACACGGCGTTAAGCTCGATCCATCACATTTCCATTATTTTCTTATTTCCATCTTTTTTTGTTTTCGAGAGCTTGTTCGGGGAGACGATGTCATTTCTCAAAAAAAAAAAAATTAAATAAAATACAATTAAATACCTGAGCGTCGTGCCCGACTTTCTCCTGCCCATCAGTGCTTTCAAATTGTTTGTATATCTAGCTATTTTTTTGTCATAATAAGCCCATTGCTCATCCCTCGTGTATTCTTTCTTTTTGCGTTTGTTTTTCCAAATTCAGAGTGTGGATCTCTTGATAAAGGAGGAAATTTATTTTAACAAAACAGCAAAAAAAATACTCATTACTCAGTAATGTTCGCATTTTGCCCTTTTTTTGCACAGACGGACAGATGGACAGACAAATGTCTTTTTGTTTTTTATAGTATTACCAAAATGACCACACGGAAACGCGCTTTCTAACGACATAAAAATCTTCCAGAAAAACTACGGCTACATCGGAAAGAACTTTCCGGCCAACCTAATAGATTGAAGCTGAATAAGAACAAAGAACAACGCCGTCTGATCATAGATTTGGTTGAGTGCTTTAAAATTGTAAAAGGAAAACCACAAAACCCTCTTTTTAAAAATCTTTTTCGACTAAACTCGAGGCTTTTGGCGACTAGGCGTGGCTCTTTTATCTTGCATCCCGAATCTGCTTTCTCTAATCTGCTTTCTCTAAATCCTCTAGAGCTTTTTTCGTAAATCGTTTGACTAAAGTTTGGAATGCCCTTCCCGACAAGTTGCGTTTCATCTCCACCGTGTCTGATTTTAAAAGGGCTATTTCGTTGCATTTTATTTATGATCTTTGTGATCTTTTATCTAGTACATTTTTCATGTCGTTTTCGCACTTTATTTCTTTCTGAATAATAATACTTTATTCAAACGATAAAGTGAAAGAAATCATAGAGAAATGCACAGTGATACTTAATCATACAATACATACTGAAATCAATAAGCCAATTACTTACGGCAAAGAGCCACTAGATCTAAAGCATCGATACGTTTCTTGAATATGAAAAGCGACTGAATTTCTCGTATGTCGTTTGGGAGCAAGCAAGCAAGCAAGAATAAAGTATTATATATATATATATAGTATTACCAAAATGACCGCACGGAAACGCGCTTTCTAACGACATAAAAATCTTCCAGAAAAACAATAACGCTGAAAAACTACGGCTACACCGGAAAGAACTAATAGATTGAAGCCAACCTAATAGATTGAATCTGAATAAGGACAAAGAAAGATTCGAAGAAAATCACAATATCATGTTATCTTTTTTCAAACTCTTGGCACTGTTTGAAAGTATTATTCATAATTAATAGAGATAAATGTTAGTTTATAAACTATTTATTACTATAGTTTATAAACTATTAACCAATAAAGTATAGTGAATACGATTTAGAGCTCTAAAAGCAAGCCTGGCCTCTAAGCACCAAGCTTTTTTTGTTACTTGGTCTAGGGCTTTTCGAATTCTAGCACAGTACAATCACTAAACTTTTTTAGCATTTGTTTATATGTAATCGAAACTCTTTAAAACCAAATACTCTTTAACAGTATTCACTGACTTTTAGTGCATGATTTCAAAGCGTTCTTCAATCAGGTGTTGACATGGGAAAAACTCCAATCCAAACCTAATTCCACCATCGTTTTCTCAGCCGTCTTTTCACCGATTTTCTTCTGAAATTTTGTTTACAAATAGAAATTGGCCCTGCAATAGCTTGTATACAAAATTTCAGAGCAATCGGCTAAGAGACGGCTGAGAAAACGATGGTGGAATTAGGTTCGGATTGGATTGGATTGAATTTTCTCATGTCTAGTATTGATCATCTCAATTTCTTTTCTTTTTCTTAACCGAGATCCCGATTGACACAAAAATCATCTCAGATCGCCAAAAAGGGAAAAAGGATTGAAAAAAGGCGAGAGTTGCCAAATGTGGGTTATCAGCTAACGTTTTTTTATGTGCAGTGGACTTGATTCGGCTTGATGGAGTTCTTCTTTTCTTTAAGAAATCCCTTCATTGATATGAGCCGGTTTTCTAGCAGCTCTTTTTTTTGTGATCGGAACTCCTCCCGAATTCGAGGATTCAATTGTTCTTTGATGGAGGACTTGATTCGTTTCTCGATTTATCAGCCGTTAGATTTCAAAGAAAAGATTGTAAATTGATCGCCAGAATCTAGAGTTAATCTAAAGCCAGAATCTAGAGTTAATCTAAAGCCAGAATCTAGAGTTAATCTAAAGCCAAAAAATACTAACGCCAAAATACTTCTAATGACTTTGTAATGGTTTTATTCAGCTTTTCAATTTGATACTTTATAATTGAAAATTAGATTTTAAAAAAAAGCAAAATCCTATAGACTACAGACTACATGGACATCTTAAAATCTTTAAGAATCAGCAAAAAAAACCATGACAAACTTTTGATTTGTCTACTGCTTTGAAAACATCGAAAAGCTTTGAGGAATCTGCGAATAAATGAGACATTGGAAAGGATCGATTTCCTTTAAAAAAAAAGGTAACTTTTTTTTGATTTTGTTTCAAAGATTTTTGATCCTAATCTTTAAATTAAATGTTTATTTTCGTTTAATTAAAGTCTACAATTTATTCAAGATCATTAAAGCAGGCTAGGAGTGTTTCATTTTCTAAAACATATCATCTTTCGACAATTTATCTCTGGTCTTGACAATACAGGGTATCCAGAAAAAAAACTGGTCATCGGTTTGAGTCTGGAAAAATTTTCTCGTTGTTTTCTCCAGGCTCTATTGGATCTATTGGATCCAATAGATCCAATCGGTTTACTATTAGATCTATTGGAGCTATTGGATTCAATAGATCCAGTAGATAGAATATCCAATATCCTTCGTGAATCCAGAATCAGATTAATTGAGCACGAAAGTTTCGAAAGTTTTACATTGAGCACGAAAGTTTCGAACGCATATTGCACCGTCTGTTGGAGCTATTGGATCCAATAGATCCAATCGGTTTACTATTAGATCTATTGGAGCTATTGGATTCAATAGATCCAATCGATCGTATATCCAATATCCTTCGTGAATCCAGAATCAGATTAAAAACAGATGACTGGATAAAACTTGCAGGGTATCCAGAAAAAAAAGTGGTCATCAGTTTGAGTCTGGAAAAATTTTCTCGTTCATTTCTCAAAGCTCATCGTGGTGTCAGAATTGATTTTGCCTCAGGCACCACACAACAAGATCAAGTTGATTTTTTTTGATCATTTTGTGAATGAATAAGGTCATGCATCGGCCGGGGAGCTCAAAATCCACGTATACATGAAAAACAGACTTTTAAATTCCTCTATTTCACCACAAATCTTTCTACTTTTTGTTTCTATAAATTTGTTTTGATATTAAGATTTTGATATAATTTTGATATAATGATATAATATATTTAGATCAATCTAGAAATGCCTAGGCATATACAAATTAGGTATTTAAGGTTATTTTATGGAAAAGTCAGTCCTGGGGGAAAGCAGCAACAAGAGGGTTTTCTTTTTTTAAAATTAACCATCATTTCAAGATTTTTAAAACAGCCAATCCAACAATGCAAACTGAAATTGTGACTAGAACATTAAAAGAAATCAACTTGATCTTGTTGTGTGGCGCCTGAGGCAAACTCAATTCTGACACCACGATGAGCCTTGGGAAATGAACGAGAAAATTTTTCCAGACTCAAACCGATGACAATTTTTTTTTCGGACACCCCCCAAGTTTTATCCAGTCATCTGTTTTTAATCTGATTCTGGATTCACGAAGGATATTGGATATTCGATCTATTGGATCTATTGAATCCAATAGATCCAATAGATCCAATAGATTTACTATTAGATCTATTGAATCCAATAGATCCAATCGATCTAATAGTAAATCAATTGGATCTATTGGATCCAATAGCTCCAACAGACGGTGCAATATGCGTTCGAAACTTTCGTGCTCAATGTGTTTGCAATTCGCACCAGTTAACGCAGCTGGCTGCGTTCTTCATCGATCTCTGAGCCAAGTGATCCATCACTAGAAGTGATCAGTAGATCGATTGGATAAAAACTAAAGACAACATTTACGGTAGTTTATCGAAAGCTATCTTGTTTTAGAAAGCAAATTAGTTAAAAAGAATTCCAAGCTAATCGATTGACAGATCTAGGATCCTAAAAGAATGGTAGCACCCATTTCGGGGTTAATTCTGGTTGCAACGTGACCTAATAACTGATGGCACTGATTGTAATTGTTGTAGTGATGAGCCAGGTACAACTATTCCCATCCAAAAATCCCTTTCGAGTGTTTCTTTGAACTTTATCTCTCAATAATTTTGAATCTTTGATCTCCCCATTGGCATTCTAGGATTTATCACCCCACAAATGTCGATGACGAATCTGTGTTTGTCCTTGAGTGATTGTGAAACCCAAAAAACGATCCAGATCAATCTAGAAAGGCCTAGGCATATGCTAATTTGGTATTTAAGATTATTTTTATGGAACTTTGAAATCTTCTGGCTAATTCGAATTGATTGATGCTTAAATTCTTATTTCTATTTTAGAAAATGCGATTTTTCCTAGCGCTACTCGTTTTTCCTGGTCTTGTCATCGCATATCAAGCCTTTCTTAAATCCGCTTTTTCTAAAGGTAAGTGAAAAGTTTCAATTTCAATTTCAATTGTTAAAGAAAATTTGTTTGATCCACAACAAAAAAGCCTTTGAAAATAAATTTTCAGAAAACTCTGAGACTGTTTTGAAAGCGTTGGGCACGGGGAAATGTCTGCGAAATTGTCTTACCAACTTGACGCAAGCGCTCGGAAATGTCGATGATGGGAAACTCTCAGAAACGTTGAACAATTTGTGCAGGTAAAGATAACAAACATTCCAATCATTTCAATCATTTCAATAATTTCAATCATTTCAATCATTTCAATAATTTCAATAATTTCAATCATTCCAATCATTCCAATCATTCCAATCATTCCAATCATTCCAATCATTCCAATCATTTCAATAATTTCAATAATTTCAATCATTCCAATCATTCCAATCATTCCAATCATTCCAATCATTTCAATCATTTCAATCATTTCAATCATTCCAATCATTCCAATCATTCCAATCATTCCAATCATTCCAATCATTTCAATAATTTCAATAATTTCAATCATTCCAATCATTTCAATCATTCCAATCATTTCAATCATTCCAATCATTCCAATCATTTCAATCATTTCAATCATTGCAATCATTTCAATCATTTCAATCATTCCAATCATTCCAATCATTCCAATCATTCCAATCATTCCAATCATTTCAATAATTTCAATAATTTCAATCATTCCAATCATTTCAATCATTTCAATCATTCCAATCATTGCAATCATTTAAATCATTTCAATCATTCCAATCATTCCAATCATTTCAATCATTTAATCATTTCAATCAAATCAATAGCTTTAGCGCCTACAAGGAAACCACAGAATGCATCAAGAAAAAGTTCTGCGGTGGTCAAATGGCAATCGATATTGTAAGTGATCTAAAATTGTTTACGAAAAAAAGAAATAGTTATTGAAATTAAAGAATTAAGTAAAGAAGACAAGTTTTTAGACACTTAGCGGCTTGAAAGAAGCATGCGGTGCACGTCGACAAATCTTTAAAACAATGGAGAAATGTTTAGACGAAAAGGCGTCAACTGTATACGATGGTTCGTTTGGAAGTGTATTCAGAAATAAAATCTTTAATTAAACAAATAAAATTGAAAGATTATGTATTGAAATGAAAGATGAAATTTGAATTTAAAACTTTCAGAGTGTGAATTAAAATGCGGCCTTGAGAACGCGACAATGACCGTCTTGGAGTCGGAAGCTGTTCAGGTTTCGTAGAGTTCTTTCAAGAATCATTTTTATTAGCTTTACTGATTATAAATAGGATTTAAAAATTCGAAAATATATATAGAAACAGTTTCCCATCAAACTAACCAATCTCAAAAGTTTCCCATGCTAATCAATTCCAGAAAGCGGTTAAACGAGGTGGTGGACCTTTGCTTGTTGCGAAAGCGGCTGGACCTTTGTGCCAGTGAGTTATCAATATATTTAAGTGCTTTTTAAAAAGTGTCCAAAAACTATCGTAATCTCAGCGTTTAATCTACAAAATTTAATCTATTGGGTTGGTGAATTGAAAACTGCCGGCTATTGTCATATGTGACAGTTTGAGCACTTTCTTCAAAAGAAACCCATTTTGGTGTCAATGGAAAAGTTGTAGAGAATCAAAAATGAGGCTTATAGCCAAATTTTCAGAACGATTCAAAAACTGGTTTTCAAGAAATGCGAAATTTACGAATTTTCACAAAAATTGCATTTTAAGCGAAACTACTAAGTGTATCTTTTTGGAAATTTGGCTATAAGCCTGATTTTTGATTCTCTACAACTTTTCTATTGACACCAAAATGGGTTTCTTTTGAAGAAAGTGCTCAGACTGGGACATCTCCAGTCCTCCATTTTTGAGTCTCACACTTGTCTCACACACAGTTGGGAAAGGTGAATGAATCCCTGAAGAATAGGCCCTCCAAGTCAAAGATCGTTCTCATCCACGACAACGCGCGCCCTCATGTTGCAAAACTGACTCACTCTAAAAAAAATAGCCTTGTTTGGGAACTTTTGACGCATTCCCCATACAGTCCCGACCTCGCCCTTTTTGATTACTATTTATTCCGGATCATGAGTAATGAGCTTGCGGGAGAACACTTCGATTCGGAAGAAGCAATCAGAAATTGGCTTTGAAAGTTTTTCGATTCAAAACCAAAATCCTACTACGAAAGAGGAATCCGCAAATTGCCAATAAAATGGGCAGAAGTCGTCAATAATAATGGAAATTATTTGGAATGAATTCATGGTTTTATGTTGATGAAAATTTTAGTTCAAAGTCCCGCAGTTTTCAATTCACCAACCCAATACAATCTCTGTGATATCAGAGATGACAGACTTGAATCATGAATTGGAGTCAAAATTCGTTCGTTTCGATTCGATCGTTGTCGAAAGTTTACACATTTTAGAACTCATTCATTTAACATAAAATATCTCTCAAGTACTTTCAAAGTTATCTTTAATTTCTTTATTTTACAATCCAGAGCCGCCATCTGCACATTTCCCTGCTTGTACACCGAATTGAACAAAGTTTGCCCACTCTCCGGGCATTACATTGTGGTAAACGACTTTTAAATCAAACTCTAAATCTATTTACAATTAGAATTTATCTATGCTTTTTGAATATTTTCGAAATTTATCTTCAAAAAGCTTTCTAGGATACACTGTTGACGCCGTTGGACAAAGGGGTGCGCTTCATGGAGGCCGTTCACATGGGGAATTTGGTTTGTTAAGTCAATTTGTTGATACAAATAGATCTATAATGTTTAAGAAATTCTCAAAATTCAATTAATTTTCCAGGCTCGTCGCCGAGCTCCGCAAGAATGCGCTCCATTGTTGGATCGTCGCGGACTTGCGCAACTTCACCTCGGAAAAACGCCGAATCCGAGTCAATTCGTAAAGAAAAATTGATTGAAAAAATGATTTAAACGATTAATAAAAAGAATTATGATTTGTTTGGATCTTTTCATAAATATGGAGAGAACTTTTTAAGTTACTGAATGATGAAAAAAGCATTTAAGTTGATGAGTATTGGAGTGGGATAAATTCAAAGTCAAAGATGTTCTAACCGAATCCAAGGATTTGGATTTGTGATTCAGATTGGGCAAGAGTCTGGCCAAGATCCAGGCCTAGCCTGGCTTGTTCAAAACGATTGCGGCAAATGAAAATGAAGATCAAAAAATATTTTTTCCAATTTTGACCTTAGCCATCTTATCCTGGCAAAATGTGATTAAATTTCGAGTGCAAATTACATCCTGCACTAGGCATAAGAAACATAAAAAACCCACTCCGAATTGCCAAAGTAGCCAAAGTAGACATGGATGGGGACGGTTACACCTTTTTAAAAATCCCTATTCTATAAAAGCTAGTCTTTTTTTGGCTCAAAATACATGATTCTCCCGGAAATGAGCTGATCCCTTTTTAGTTTCTTTTTAGTTCTGGTTTATTTTTAGTTCTGGTTTCTTTTTAGTTCTGCTTTCTTTTTAGTTCTGGGTTTATTCACTCGAATCTCTCAAATTCCATCAAGTAAATGATTGGAAATTTCAGGAGTTCGGAGCTAAAAAAAAAAATCCTCAGACAAATCATTTACATTTTCTCTTCTCAAAAAATGTCCGGTCACTAATAACCAATCAGTGTCCCCGATTCGCTTAAAAATTGATTTAACGGCAATTTTCATCATTTTCCTTTTGTCACGGTGAATTGGAAAATGCTGTTTTTCAGCTAGACAAGCTTTCATCTCAAAACGAAAGAACACCTTTCTTCAGCCATCTATGCATAACCAACATTTCTTCCAATGACGTCAATTGTCCTCAGTTCGATTGGAGTAAGTTTATATCAGCAAAAAAACATGGAAATATTCATTTCCATACACCATTTTATATAAAAAACCCTTAGTTTTAGATTTCCGTTAATGAACAATTGGAGATTCGCTTTCTTCTTTATACAATTTTTGGTATTGCTGTCATTGTTTGTAACGTTATTTGTCTTCTTGTTCTCAATTCGTCGAGTGAATTTCGAAAGTAATTCTTGCTCTATTCATTTGTTTCCGTCGCTGAATTGGTAAGTAATGGTTTAATTTTTTGGTTTCTTTCTTGCTTTCTTTCTTGGTTGAAGCTAATTTGTAAAGTTTCTTAAAAGCATTGATTTAAAGCACAGAAAGCACAGTGAAGGTTCATTTGATGGAAAAGATTAAACTTTGAAGATTGAACAATTGTGAAAACATCATTGAAATAAAAATTGACAGTGATCTCTCAACAATATGCTTAGGTGAATGGCATTTCATTTCTCGCAACCGGTGTCGGTCGATTGATCCTTCTGCTCGATGGTGACTTTTACACACCAATCACAAGCATTCAATGTATCACCACATATTCTTGGCCTTCATTGCTTTTAGTTGCTGGTAAAATTAAGAAATAACTTCAAAAGATCACTTCTAAAGATCTATTTGATTGTTTAGGAACTTTGCCAGCTTGCGCGAATCTCTCATTGTCTCTTGAGAGACTTTTCGCAGTTCGTTATCCTTCTCTGTACAGATCGTGGAGTAATTCGCATAAATATGTACTCATCATTGGCTCCGTTATTGTCTCATTGGTTTGTTTTTGTAAATTGGAAAATTTTTAAGACAATTTCAATCATAGGAATACAAAGTTTTGTAAAGAATGTTTTAAAAGTTTCCAGGCTTAGAATTAGAATCTAGTTTTGGCTTAGAATTCCATTTAGTTATGCAACATGTTTTTAAATTTTTAAAAAACTAAGACTGCCGACGCGGGCGGGAGTCGAACCCGGGTCGAGTGAGTTAGAGACAAGTGCGCTCGCACTGCGCCATCTAGCTAGCATGGCAAGGTGGCCATGCTTGCATGCCAAAGTGGCCGCTTGTATGACCGAGTGGTTAACACGCGCGTCTCTCAAACGGACGGACGAAAGAGGTCGCGGGTTCGACTCCGCTTGCCGCCAATTCTTTTGCTTTTTATTCCAAAAACTTTTTGCTGGTAGAGGCAATAAAGACTTGCCAAAAGTGTGAGCTATTTCAGTGCCTCTACCTCCTCGGCATTCTCACCTCGTGGCTTTTCCCCACCCAATCGCTTTCTCGTCTCTGCGCGGTGATGGACAGCGCCGGTCCTTATTTCGGGACATTCCATTATTTGATCATTTGCAAGGCGTATCTTATCGGATTTCAATAATATGTATTTTGCCGTTCTAGCGCACCTTTTCGCCCATCCTCAATTTTCACGTTTTTCAGCCATTTTAAGGCTTATTTTTAACATAAACAAGTCTTAACTCTTCGAAAATGTGTCATTTTCAACAATTTTCAAAAATGGTAAAAAGGTCGAAATGGTCGAGAAAAGTGCGCTTGAACGGTGAATAAAAATAATGCTAAATAAATGGTGAAGCTAGAGAAAGATCTGCCTGCGCTAACAAATCTAGATCTCCTTGCTTTAGTCGAAGTATTGGAAATCAAGAATTTTAGAGGTATCTTCATGCGAGACACTTTACCGATTTTCTTTGCTTTTGTGTTAAATTTCACACATAATGTTTATAAACAGAATTCAGAACGCGACAGGAAAAAAAGGGGAATTTTTCAATAAACCAAAAAGAATAATTTGTGACCCGAGAAAAATGTTTTAATACAAAAAGAAAATAATTTTTAGACAAAAAGAAATTTTATGAGCAACGAGAAACAACCGATAAAGAAGATCAAGAAATTCATTCGTTCCATTCATATTCATCATCAGAGTCGGCCGGTGGCAACAAATCCTAAAATCCAAAAATTGTTTGAGTGAAAATAACAATTAATATTACCCGAATCGCCACGAGAACATCATCGACTGAGACGATACAACAACGACCTCCGCATGCAGGAGATGCAGGTCGTCCTTTGTCATCTTTCGTGTGCCCCACCTTTTCCACCTCGACTTGCATTCCTATTAATTGCCCCTTTTTGTTCCAACATCCGCCACCACTATCTCCTTTGAATGAGCCACTCGATCCCGTATATCGAAATCTTCGCTTCACATCACTAGCGATGATTCCGGTAGACAGTGAAAGATGGCTTGTCTTGTTGTGAAGAATCGAATATCCCATCTAAAAAAAAGTGTTTTTAAGGGTAATTTAGAAAAAATTTCATTTGATAAAAAATTACCATCAGATATTCCATTCCTTTTTGAGGCGGAACTGGACTCAAACGCAAACTTTGATTACACAAATCTTTTTCGTCCGATTTCAAGATGATCACATCGAGTTCTTCAATGATTCTCACAACACGAGTTTTTACATTGAACTTCTCATCCGACCACGAGCGAATTACAATTTCATCATCTAAAAATAGCCAATTAAAATAAACCCATTACTAACACACCTATTTTGATCTTTTTGTTCTCGCCATGTTGAAATGTTGCTGCGAGTTTCGTGCTCAACGGGATCGCGCATCTTTTGTAGTCGTCGCTTTTCACATTGTAAAACAGAGCATATTGTCCAATAGAAGCGGCCAAATCACCATCAACAGGGAGCTGTTCGGGAGCCGGGTCCAGTTTTTGCCTTTTCGGATTAGTAGCACCTAGAATTGATAAATAAATTGACAATGTTTAAAATAAATCTTAAAATGTAAAAATCAATAAAAGGTGTGAAATATTTAAAAAAATACCTTGATCTGCTGGCGTTGCTGGACGCGATCGTCGCTCTTCCTCCCATCGCAATTCGTACTCGGCTCCGTTCCATCCATCTTGTAGCTCAAAAAAATCGTCTTCTCTGCACCTAAAAACTTAATAAAAAATTTGTTCAGAATTTTATTTAAAATTGCTAACGAAAATCGAAATGTCTTAAATAAGAGCCATTAAAAACCTCCTTTAAGCCTCTGTTGTTCCTGAACAATCCGATCGGCACGTCCTCTTCAAGTTGGAAAGCTGCCCTCAAAGTCTTTTTGCTGATAATGCCATCAATTTCTGCCGTAACTTCAACGACGCGCTGATTTCCTCGAACAATGACAAACTAAAATAAGATTATTGACTAGTAAGATAAAATATCAACAAAACATACCGATTCCATATTGATCGATCGATTCCATCCGATTGATCTTTAGAAACCGGGCTGATAGAATTAACTTCGGATATCTGAAAAATCCATAATTAATAATTTTTTCAAACACTAAAAAGAAGATAAAAAATTAATTGTTTACACAAACTCTTTAAGATAGGAGAAGATAGAAAGAAAGAAAAAGCGCCCATTTCCGGAAAAAAATTAGCACAGTTAGAGTGCACCGCAACTTAGTAGAATTATTACTTCTAATTGGCGTAATACTGTACGTGCTTTAGAAAATTAAGTAAAAGGACGTAAATTTTATGACAACAAAAAGCAAAACTTAACAACAAAGGAACCCGACAATTCGGAAACAAACAAAGGGAAAAAAATGAAAATGATTTTTTCCCCAGTATTTCTGGCGTGTTTCATATGCAAATTTTCGAATTTCTACTTAAAATCAACTGAGATTTATCAAAATTAGCATCGATGGTCTAGCTTTTACACAGAAATCCTTTTGCCTTCCCGGTTTCCTTAACTACCTAACTAAAACTTATCGAGAAAAACAATGATAGCTATGGATGTAAAATCATGCACAACGCAAACTACAGAAGAAAAGAAAATCTCTTTTCTATTCACAAAAGTTAGAATGTGGTGGAAGGATGCGATGTTGGCAACGTCCCGTGTTCCTCTGCGTCTCTGCTCAAGCGTCACTCTCATTACCCTTCCACAGCTCGCCGAATCCTCTTAGATTGAGGCGCAGGCTCTCCGTTGCGGGACCCGGACTGGTATTTATAGTTATAACTGGCTGATCGTTTCCTGAGAAAACGTCTGAGTATTTTGAAAATCTGATTTCACAGCTGGATTCAGCATATTTTTATCCTTTCGCCACAAATATTTGGGAATATCAAGTTTATTTTGAATGGTTTTTCGTCTTTTTAACCATCTTCCTGAACCATAAAGTGTGTGCCATATTTGTGGCGAAAGGATACACCTATAACAAACATATTGAAACTCAGATATCAGAGAAACATTGTTTTCTCACTTCAGGAAAGGAGCGGCCAGGATTTTCTTTGGAAATTTGGCCTCATTTTTCATTCTCTACAACTTTTCTATTGACACCAAAATGGGTTTCTTTTGAAGAAAGTGCTCAAACTGAGACATCTCCAGTCCTCGATTTTTGAGTCTCACACTTGTCTCACACACAAACCAAAATCCTACTACGAAAGAGGAATCCGCAAATTGCCAATAAAATGGGCAGAAGTCGTCAATAATAATGGAAATTATTCGGAATGAATTTATGGTTGTATGTTGAATAAATTCTAGTTCAAAGTCGCGCAGTTTTCAATTCACCAACCCAATTGATGGATTAGATACTACTTGAAGATTACAATTTCTATTTGTATTTTTCAAAGAAAAATGCGTAACTAGATGGATTAGATACTATATTTTGATGTAATTGTAGAAAACGAATCAAATAATGAATTCTATATGTAAATTTTATGCTTATCCTCGTGTGTACTTTGAGTTCTGATGAGTTGAGTTTAAGAGCAAATCTGGTGAACCTAATTAGAATTCTTTTATTCTTAAACATTTGTCATTTGTCATTTACTCAACAATTCTTTTGTGGTTGGCAATATTTGTTTTGATTTGATTTTCTGTAGATCAAAAGTTGATGATGGTCGATAGGGGTACAGTGAGTAGAGCACAATAGAGAACATTACCTAAATTCGTCTTTCAAATTACTACTATAACCCTTTACATATTTAAATTTAGCTTTAAAACTCTATAAATATCTTCAGATTTTGTTTTGTTTCTACCATTGCAAGTTGTTGTACCAGTTCTACCATTTCTACCAGTTCTACCAGTTCTACCAGCTCTACCAGTTCTACCATTTCTACCATTTCTACCATTTCTACCAGTTCTACCAGTTCTACCAGTTCTACCATTTCTACCGCTTCTACCAGTTCTACCAGTTCTACCAGTTCTACCAGCTCTACCAGTTCTACCATTTCTACCATTTCTACCATTTCACCAGTTCTACCAGTTCTACCATTTCTACCGCTTCTACCAGTTCTACCAGTTCTACCAGTTCTACCAGCTCTACCAGTTCTACCATTTCTACCATTTCTACCATTTCTACCATTTCTACCAGTTCTACCAGTTCTACCAGTTCTACCATTTCTACCATTTCTACCATTTCTACCAGTTCTACCAGTTCTACCATTTCTACCGCTTCTACCATTTCTACCAGTTCTACCAGTTCTACCAGTTCTACCAGTTCTACCAGTTCTACCAGTTCTACCATTTCTACCGCTTCTACCAGTTCTACCAGTTCTACCAGTTCTACCAGTTCTATCAGTTCTACCATTTCTACCATTTCTACCATTTCTACCATTAGCAAGCTCACCATTGCAGCTCCAAACATAAATTGGAAACCGGGCACAAAATCAAAGAGCATCCAACTGCCGAGGGCAGCTCCGATTATCGCCATGCTCTGAAATGTTTACTCTAGTAGGCTGAAAAATGATCTAGTGGACGGAAAAGAGTTTTTGTTTGTTCCTTTCACAAATACCATCGTTTTTTTTTCTTGACTAACCTGTGCAAAAGCCTTCAAAATGTTATCCGCATATTTCATCACTACTGCAATTAAAAGGCCACCAACCGAATTGAAAATTGTGAGAATGAGTACCCAGAAATCCCAGCTAAAGAATAAAAAAATGAATAAAGCCAATAAAAAAAGAATAAAGCCAATAAAAAATGAAAAAGCCAATAAAAGAAATCGTTTTACCCTCTAAAGAAACCATCAGTCTTGATCGCTTCCAAGTCATAAGCAAACATGCTAAAATTCTGAATTCTGATTCTGTTTTTGAAAGTTTAAAATCTAATGTGAGATTGTTAGCATCAGAAGTTCTTTAAACACTCTTTAGCAGTCAAAATTTCGCTAAATCGGTAATATTTTGAAAGTGATACAATTTCGCCAAAATGTTTTTTTACCTAATTGCTGAAATTGGCAATCCAACTAAAGCCAATCGAACATTTTGTATCCAAACCGATTCCTCGCTTCCTTTCAACACTTTTTCCAAATAAACACCTAATAATTTTTCAAATTCTATATAAATCTACAATTTACCAGCTAATGCCGATGTAAAACACATCAAGAAAACGGCAGAGAAACCGATCATTGGATTCTGTTCGACGCTTTCTTCATTCGTTGATGGCGGAGAGTAAATGAGTTGCACATTGATCACTCCTAAAGTAAGGAATGCTAAAGAAAGATTTTTTAGAGAGCATTGAACCCTTGAAATGCTTTAACCACTGAGCTATCCAGCTCTAACCCAGCTCTAACCCTTTCAAATGCTCTAACTACTGAGCTATCCAGCTTTAACCCAGCTCTAACCCTTTCAAATGCTCCAATCACTGAGCTATCCAGCTCTAACCCAGCTCTAACCCTTTCAAATGCTCCAATCACTGAGCTATCCAGCTCTAACCCAGCTCTAACCCTTTCAAATGCTCCAATCACTGAGCTATCCAGCTCTAACCCAGCTCTAACCCTTCAAATGCTCCAACACTGAGCTATCCAGCTCTAACCCAGCTCTAACCCTTTCAAATGCCCAACACTGAGCTATCAGCTCTAACCAGCTCTAACCCTTTCAAATGCTCCAATCACTGAGCTATCCAGCTCTAACCCAGCTCTAACCCTTTCAAATGCTCTAACCACTGAGCTATCCAGTATCTTCTTATCAAAGAAGAAAGAGAAGGAAATTTAGGTTTACAGTTAAGGCTCTTTAAATAACAAACCAGCCACAAGAATACATAAAGCAATCCACTGTTTCCCGGAGAATCTCTTCCCCAACATCAATCTCATCAAAAAAGCCGTCGTGAACATCTTCAACTGATAGCAGATCTAAAAGGAAAATGATATTACTCATTTTGTGAAAGCTATCATGACTTAACTCACAAAAAGCTTTTTGAGGTTCTAAGGTCAGAGTTTTGTCTTCTTTTTTAGAAAATATCCTAAGGATCCTTTGACTGATGCATTCAATTCGAATCAATCAAAAAAAACACACATCTAACCTGTGCAAAAGCCTTCAAAATGTTATCCGCATATTTCATCACTACTGCAATTAAAAGGCCTAACAAGTTATAGCCCTTGTAAGTTCAAAACCAGTTTTTTTAAAACTCTCTAACTCTTTCTTCTTTCAATTTCATAATTGAAAAAGAGTTTTCATGTATTCAAAGAAAAAAAAGTGTTCATAAAGAATCCCCCATTCATTTTCATCCATTCCACCCCCGATCAGTCTCTTTTTCATTCACAACCGGGCTTCGTGCCCCCTTCAAGTGGTGCTTTGGCCTCTTGTGATCCCTCCATTATCCCCCTTTTTATCTCTTCTTCTTTTTTTTGTCTTTTCTTAGATCTCTCCAAATCGGTCTGATCAAAACCGATCTGTTTGCGCGGAATCATTTTTATCCGAAATGAATCAACAAAAAAGAAAAAGTCGACGACGAGGCCAAGAACGCCTGGAGCGTTCTGGAAAAAAAAAGAGGATGCAGGAAAATTCAAATCAAACTTATTCTAAAAGAAAATCAAGGATTTTCGATTTCTGTATCGTTTTCTATATCGACTTCCAGTATCGATTTCTATATCGATTTCCAGTATCGATTTCTGTATCGATTTCTGTATCGATTTCCAGTATCAATTTCTATATCGATTTCCAGTATCGATTTCCTGTATCGATTTCTATATCGATTTCCAGCATCGATTTCTATATCGATTTCTATATCGATTTCTGTATCGATTACTTCATTTTCTCGATCTGAACTCAAAATTCTAGTAAGCGCAAAAATTTTTTTCATCTAAATCCTCATCAATAAGTCGTACTCACATAAATTGTCGTCGCTTCCAAATGTGTGCCGGCAATGTAATAAAGATTATTCTGGAGTACATAGATCACAGCTGGGATGCAAACCTAAGAGACCAATCATAAGACATCATAAGACAAGTTATGACACAGTAAAATTTAGATTATGCAAAACTTCTCTACCTTCAAGGTCTCTATCCGATTCACCCAAAACGCCGAGTAAAGATCTTTAAGGAATCTGAAAAGAGCGATCTTGTTTTGTGTTTTATTTACGATTTAACATTTGTAAAAGTTCTCCGACCCCCGAAAAAGTGAAAATTTACAGCTGAATATCTTTTTGTACCATTTATAAAGCAGAAAAATCAGTGTAAAATGACTCGGCCGTGTGCGGCCGCGTAATCGCTAGCCATCTGGCACACGCTCCCGATAGATAAGTGTTTCCTTCTGGAGGGAGAACGAGCGACCGAGCCGACTCTGCCGCCCGCCGCCCGCCGCCGATGCCGAAACCCCGTTAAGTGCCGTTAAAAACATTCTGCTGCATAAACAGCAGTGAAACCCGGCGAACAATGCGGTCCGAACCGCTCATGCAAAATCTCTCTGGCCTGATCACATCCAAAGTCGCGCACCCCCGATCCGGGACCTTCCCTGTTTCACACCTCAAAAATGATGTTGATCGAATGAGAATCATCGAGCAAACGATGAACTTGATGACATCCATCATGAAAACATTGACCGTCGTGATGAACACCTCATCGGGTGATCGATAACGAGTGTAGCGAACGAGGAGTGGCATTCTGGAATTGAAAGGAACACTGATGTGATCTTAAAGGGAAGTACACGATATGCACGATCTTACAATTTCAATTCTACAATTTCTTTACTTTGTTGCTTATAGATTAACTCTTTTGCTCTTATTGGCGGGTGAAACGTGGGTTAAAAATAGCCATATTCATGTTAATCTTGCCTTTAAAACGGCTAATTTAGAAACTTATTTGTTATTTTGAAAACAAGCGATTTTTATTTAAAAATAACCCACGCGGCTTGTTGTAGTGTGAGCGCGAGCAGGCCACCATATTTATAAGCAAATGAGCTCATTCGGAAGGAAAATCAATAACAAGAATTTTAGTAAAAAGGTTGACTTCTCAAGATAGACTAGGAGAAAAAGCACAAAGGTGAAAATCCACGCATCTCCTTTTTCTCCTCTTTCAAGGGGAGAAATAGCTCCTCATCGATAGCGATCTCCCTTCGGCATTCCCCTCTCCACTTTGAACCTCATTTTGAGCTGAAAACAAAAAAAAATACAGCTTTTGCAATTATTAGAAACCGAATGTTGCTAAAATAGCAAAGTGATATTATTGTCATTCTAATAAATTGCTGGTTAATTGCTTTAATCGTCGTTTAATCGTTTCAAAAGATCTTAATTAGATAATGTCTTAGTGACAAGGAAAAGGCTGACATTTTGACTCGAGACCAGTTGCTGGTTAATTGCTTTAATCGTTTCAAAAATTCTCAATTACTGAATGTCTTAGTGACAAGAAAAAAGCTGACATTTTGACTCGAGACCAAATCCATCTTATAGAGTCGCCCACCGGGATCTCGAGTCCGTTTTTAGTTTTTGCAGAACGATTCGCAAACACGAGATATTTGGCATAGGAAATCATCTTAAATTTGAGCATTTTGAGCTCGTTAAGAGACCGACACACGCTCTCCTAACAGTTGCTTCGGTGGCTTAGTGAAGAGTTTGCTAGGTGACTGAACCTGTGACTTTGTTGCCCTCAAGTTCGCGTCCCATTCTCGGTTCCTTACGTATTTGTATTGAATTATTGACTCGAGTTTTATACTTGATCTCGAGTCAAAAGACCAGCTTGACTCGGTGCCTTTCCCTTGTGTGGAAATCAAATTAGTTTTCTGTATTTTGTCTGTAATATTGTTATCGAAACGCTTCTTGAGCTTTATTTTTACAAATCCCTATCTTCCAATTAACATTTGGTCTTAACATTTTGTCTGCTGATCATTCATTTCCCTTTCCTCTTCTTCTCTTTTCACCGTCGGAACGTCCACTCGAGGTAGTAATCCCTTAAAGATTACGGTAGTATTCCATTAAAGATTACTGTAGTAATCCCTTAAAGATTACTGTAATCTCTGTACAGTAGATCATCTGCAGTACAGTAAGATGTTGTTTAGTAAACACTTGATTAGAAGCAAGGCTTTTTTTAAGCTAAAATTGTCAAAACGCTTCTTGAGCTTTATTTTTACAAATCCCTATCTTCCAAATAGCAACATTATGTCTCCTGATCATTCATTTCCCTTTCCTCTTCTTCTCTTTTCACCGTCGGAACGTCCACTCGAGGGTGCGTTTTTAAATGGATTTCCCGAGAGAAGAGAGGTGGAAAGCAAAAAGAAATCTCAAAAGAGAAAAGCGAGAAAAAAAAAGCAAGAAAAGAGCGTAGAGAAATGAACCAAATTTGGCGCTTTTGGGGGAAAAGGAGAAGAAAAAAAGAAGTGATACAGAAGAGGACTTCTCGCCAAGTTGCATGGAGCGTCGTTTAAGGAAGAAATTCTATCTGTTCCGATTGAAGAGCGGCCCACTCGAGAATTGTTTTGTTTTTGGAGAGAGTTTCCGTGGAATTGCTTTCAGGCAATTGCTTGACACTTTTGTCTGATAAGAGCACTTCCTTATCTAGACTTTTGTCTGATAAGGGTACTTCCTTATCCGGGTAAATCCATCCAAAAGTGATCGTACTATGAAATCGTAGAGAAATGAACCAAATTTGGCGCTTTTCGGGGGAAAAGGAGAAGAAAAAGAAGTGATACAGAAGAGGAGTGATCTCGCCAAGTTGCATGGAGCGTCGTTCAAAGAAGAAATTCTATCTTTTCCGATTGAATTGCTTACAATTTCGTCTATGAGAGTACAGCACTTGATAGTAATGCTTGATTAGTAAGTAATATTGTCTCGCTGTTGGATAGCCGAATCATCCTCGACGGATCAGGCTCAGCCGTGCGCCAGCTCAGTGGCGTTTACGAGCACAAAGAACACTTGTATTTTACTTCAAGAACTTGAATAGGATTCGGATTGTTTTAAGAATTCTTTAAAATCAAAAATTTGTAATTTGAAACTTATCCGTTAGCTCAACCAGAATTACGATATGTTTTTTCTAAAAAGAATTTTTTAGAAAACCCTTTAGTCACGAGAAACCTTTAGACTTTCAGCTCATTTTCTTTTGACAAACAAACCTTACTCATCACTCAAAAGAATTTCCACAAAACAAAACAATTCTCTGTTTTTTTTCATATCATTTCTGACCATACATTTTGCTTAAAAACCTCAAAAATTTGTAAAAAATTGTGAATTCTCTGTGAATTAGCAATTCTTCTATAAAAGTTGAAAAATTCAGTGAATTTGATCTCATCTTGTACATATTATTGATTGTTTTATGAAAAGTCTCTAGTCGATGATCGGGAATCGGTTTTTAGTGAGCTAACAAGCATCACTTGACTGTAAAGCATCACTTGACTTCATTACGATTTACTTGACCTCATTACAGTAATTTACATTCAGGTGTGCACCGCGGAAATTGATCGATCGGGGTGCGGGATCTTCGAGGTTTGTCGCTCGATCGACTCCTCCACACAACACTTTTGCCAATTCGCTTTCCCTGTTGTTGTGAAATTCTCGGAGAGTCGAGATCGAGGATTGATCTAATTTTTGTGAATTTCATCTCATCTTGTACATATTATTGATTGTTTTATGATATTTTTTACATAGAAAAAAATCTGTATTCATTCTAAAACTAGAGCTTGAAGCAACAAGCAATTCAAAAGCTAAAAGCTCAAAAGCTAAAAGCTCAAAAGCTTAAAAGCCAAAAGCTCAAAAGCTCAAAAGCCAAAAGCTAAAACCTCAAAACCTCCTTTTTTTTCGTTTTGCTCAAAATAAGGGTGATCAATTCGGGGAAAGCGATTTCTTTTCTCAAATAATCGGGACTCAAATAATGATTGTTTTATGAAAAGTGGGATTTCCTAGCCGAATCTCATATACATTTTGCACAAATCGTTACACAAATGTCTACCCGATGATAGGAAACCGGATTTTAGTGGAGTTAGTAACAAGTAACTTGTTAGTAACAAGTAACAAGCATCACAGTTTACGATTTACTTGACCTCATTACAGTAGAGCTTGAACCAACAAGCAATTCAAAAGCTCAAAAGCTCAAAAGCTCAAAAGCTTAAAAGCCAAAACCTCAAAAGCTCAAAAGCCGAAAGCTAAAACCTCAAAACCTCCTTTTTTTCCATTTTGCTCAAAATAAGGGTGATCAATTCGGGGAAAGCGATTTCTTTTCTCAAATAATCGGGCCCACATTGGTGCGGGTGTCAAAAAGAAGAAAAACGAAAGAAAAGCGTTCATTTTTAGGAACAAAAAGGATTGATAAAAGAGGATTTGTCGAGATTTAGACAAAAGAAACGAAAGCTCAACATTTTCGGGGGCTTTGAGGTGTCTGATGATGGGGAAAAGATCAGGATTTAGACCTTTTTTTGAGCACTTGAAAAGGGGGAAAAGGGCAAAGGACAAAAGGGATCCGGTGTTGTAGCTGATAAAGACTATACAGACGACAAAAGAAAAACAAATACAGTAATTAGTTTGATGAGCTTCTGCCTCTTCTGTAGCCTCTTCTGTAGTAGAGCAGTTTGAAAATTGTAACGCCAGGTGGCTGTGAGATAAACAGAACTAGTGCTAGCTCAACTCTTGCTCAATTCTTCTCCAAATTTAGTGAACCAATTTTTCTTATTGGTTTAATTGAAGAGTTTACAATTCACTCTACAAACTCTGGAAATGTGCTTTTTTTGAAAAATCACTTATCTTTGACTTTCAAAATAGTCGGCAATCTGAAAAAAAGCCTGGATTGCAGTTTATTTCTTACGAAGAATTCTAGATCTAGATTCTGATCAGAATCAGAATCAGACTTAGATTGAAACAGATCTAGTTTCTGATCAGAATCAGAATCAGACTTGGATTGGAACAGATCTAGATTCTGGTCAAGAATCTAGAATCAGACTTGAATTGAAACAGATCTAGATTCTGATCAGAATCAGACTTGGATTGAAACAGATCTAGATTCTGATCAAGAATCTAGAATCAGACTTAGATTGAAACAGATCTAGATTCTGATCAGAATCAGAATCAGACTTGGATTGAAACAATCGTTAATATCTAGATTTAAAACTGTTCACTAAACTTCAGGTCAAACATTTCATGAGCTTTAGTTTAAATGCTTTTAAATGCTACCCCTCTCATTCAGATTGCTTTGATTCCAAAAAAACCCACTAGTACAGTGATTGGGGCGTTCATTTCACCACCGCACAATCAAATTGATTTCCCGGTATTTACATTGATGACCCTAAAGGTGATGGTGGGAAAGGGGAAAAAAATGGGAAGAGGTAGAGGGAAGAGGACTTACTTCGAGGTAAAAGAAGAATGACTGAGGGATGGTCTGATCATCTTTTCTTCACCCAATCTCTCACCCCGACGCGTGCATGTCGAACACACAAGACTGAAAGAAGAAGAAGACTGACTCTGAAATGGTGAAGAGGCTCTGGAGTGAAATTGAAGAGAGTGAAAAGACTGAAGAAGAGACTGAAGAAAAACAAGAAGAAGAGCCTCTTCAGGTTTTGACTGAAGAAAGCACCGCCCTGGGTCTTCTTTTCTTTTGATTTTCCTCCAGATTTTCTTTTTCTGGATAAGCTAAGATTGAAAGCTTTCGAGTGCCTTAAACTGTCGTTTTCCCGTTTTTGATTCTTGTCTAGAATCATTGGGATTCTTCGAATCTCCATTTTCTCTCTTCACTTCTATTGTTGATCTCAAAATCTATTGTTCTTGTTGAAGAAGATCTCTTTTTCAACTCCAAATCTTCCAAACTGTCTTAACTCTCTCTCTCTTTTTTTCTTTTCCAGTATTGCCTCTAATTCATCGTTATCTTTTCCAACTATCAAATCTTTCTCACCAGAATTTCTTTTCCAAGCCTTTTCCAAGCCTTTAACCGTATCTTCCCGATCCTTACAGTTGTCTTCGTCTCCCAATCATCAACGAACTCTCTCGAATCCCTCAACCATCCTCAAATCTCTCAACATCTTCTAAACTACCATTTCCAATTCAGCTTAGTCTTTTTTTTTCCTTTCCAAATCATCTCTTCTCTTCTAATTTTGTCCTCACAATTCTCCAAAGCTTTGCCTAGCACCGCCCCTCTTTCCAATCAACCTCTTCTCCATCCACAATTCCCTCTTTTCTCGAAAATTTTGCCATTCTTTTGCCATTCTTTTCCCATTTTGATTGATCACTTCCTGGTTTCTTCCACAAATCCCACTACAGTCTCTCCTTTTTCTTCTCCCCATTCTGATCAAATTCATTTCAGAAGCAACACGTCGGCAATTCGCGGTTCCCCATTGCCTCGTCATTGGCATTTATTCGCTTCTCTCAATAGATAGAGTAACTTCATAGAAGGATCCATTTCATTTATTTCCATACGATCGATGGGCCTCGTCCGCATCTCGATCACCCTTCTACTCGTGGCGCAATGCCTTGTCGTGGCTAGCCCGGGAATTGGTGAGTGTCAGGGTTTGAAATCTTGGGTAAAAGATTCTGTAAACAGTTGGCTTCTTTTCGATTGATTTTTTGAGATTCTACAAGACTTGAATACGTTAAACTGGACGAAGATGATGGTCTTAACCTCACTGATTTGCTCACTGATTTGCTCACTTTGCGAACTGATTTTTTGAATTTAGTATTTAGTTTTGGTTTGGCTTTCTCAAAGTGATTTTCATGCGGTGAAAATCCTAGTTCTTTTTCTTTTTCTGACTTCTTGTTAGAATTGTTAGAATGCCAAGAACCATTTCAACGTAGAAACTAGAGAATTTCCATCGAAACACCCATCGAATCATCAAGAATTGTTCCACAATGTTTTGTCTTCCAATTGTCGTTTCTCCTTTCCCCTTAGCTGTCCTAGCATTTCTCCATTCAGCGCGCGCTTCTTCAATTACAATTTCTCAAATTGCACCATTCTTTCTCTTTTTCATGCATTCCATCCCCGAACTTCTTCCGTATTTTTCTGTGTCCAATTGATTGATCAGGTGGAAACGATTCAAACAAATGTAACAAGTTAATTGAAGTACAATACTTGAAGTACAATACTTGCAGTACAATACTTGAAGTACAATACTTGAAGTACAATACAATCCTAGTACAATACAATACTTGAAGTACAATACTTGAAGTACAATGCTTGAAGTACAATACTTGAAGTACAATGCTTGAAGTACAATACTTGAAGTACAATACTTGAAGTACAATGCTTGAAGTACAATACTTGAAGTACAATACAATCCTAGTACAATACAATACTTGAAGTACAATACAATACTAGTACAATACAATACTTGAAGTACGATACAGTACAACTTGGGTAGTTCTGTTGAATTTTGAAAAAAGATCTCATCCATTAAGCTATCGTATGAATCCTATAATTTAAAGCTGGATTTTGAAAATGGCAAAGATTTGCATTTGCAGATTTGCATTTGCAGATTTGCAAACTTTCTCTAACTTTTAAAGCGAAAGAGATAAGAACTAGATTCAGATAGATAAGGAACCAAATCTAGGTTGATAAGGAACGAAATTTAGAGAGAAAGGGAACGAAATTTAGAGAGATAAGTACCAAATTTGTTGAAATAATGAACCAAATTTAGAGAGATAAGAAACCAAATTTAGAGATCTCGAAATTTCCTTTTCATCTTAAAGCATTAACAATTAAATCTATCTCTAAAGTATCCCTTCTTTACCATTCAAAAAGTTTCAAATCCGGGTCGCACTTGAGAAATCGCACGGTCACCAATGAACATGAGAAATTTGCATGAGGGAAAGAGAGCATTGTTTTCTGCTTGCTTTAACAATCGAGTGAAAAGGAAAGGGAGCGACAGGGGAAAGATCTCAGTTTTGGGATACATCCGATGAGATGGAATTTCCCCGTCTTTTTCATGAAATATTTGTTGAGACCAAACCTTCTTTCCCTTCTTTCATTTATGAGTGTCGTTCTCTTTTGTGGAACAAAAATTTTTCAAAAGAAAACAAATCGAATTGGACGAAACGCTTTCTCCAAGGAGGGGAATTCGGAATTGTTTTTGATTCAGATTGAAAATTGGATAACAATTTTAAGGACTTTATTAGAGTATTTGTACTTTAAAAGACTATAAAGAGAATCATTTTTCCATTACAAACTTCAAACCATTTTTTATAAAGCTTTTAATGTTGCTCTTGAGGGTAATGGTTTAATCTTATTTCAAAAAATTGATTCTGAATGCTAACACTTCTTTTTAAGGCCACAACAAGTTATAATACTGTAAATACTGTAATAGTACCCCAGCCCGATAATGACGGTGCGGAGTGTTGCGTAGTTTAGCTTTGAACGAGTTTTTCTCGACACTGGTTTATGCTACAATGCGCGCTTAGGTGTCAAAAAATAGCTGAAATTCAGGGCTATTTTTTGATACCAAAGACGCATTTTTTGAAAGTACGGGTGCTTTGAAAAACAATGAAATACTAAAAAACTTTTGCGACTTGCGACTACGCGACTGTACGAGGGGGGTGGGGTACTATTACAGTATTTATGGTAGGTATAAAAATGATTGTTTTGATCGAGAGATCGAGAGAAATCAAGAGAAATCAGTTTTCGATTTTTCGCTTTTTCTCAAAGAAATAATCGTAAAGAATAATAGAGAACAATAGTTTTTAAAATTTTCAATTAGAAATGAGATTTTTAGAGTCACGACAAGCGGCCGTGAATCGAGCAATCGAGCAGACGAAACGCCGCCAATCTGCCCCACCAGCCACACAGAATACACGAGCGTCCACGAGGAATACAGCTGGTTGGTTTGATCAAAAACATTTCGATCATTTTCTCAAATGTCTCATAGGTCTAAAATGTCTCAAATTTATAATTTATATCATTGTCTTTATGCTAAACGGTACTGTAGTTTAAAATTTGTCTTGTTACAGTACTGGCATAAAAACATAACCTTACTTTAGCGTTAAATTGAGGTCTTTAGGGTTAAATTGAAAGCTAAAACTGTTCTTGATTCGTTATTTTGTTTTTATCTTGCTGGCTGATTGTTTTTATCTTTTTATCTTGCTTTTATCTAAAATTATTCTTAGCCAATAACAGATTTTGCTTTTTTCTTCTTCTTTGCTTATTAACCTTTAAATAACGCTAGATAAAAGAATAAAAATAAGCCAAAATATCTAGAAACCTTTGCTTTCTTCATTTCATTGCTTTTCTTTGCAAGAAAATCTTTTCAGTCCCCTGGGCAAGACATCTTGTTTCATATCGTAGGTGAAAGAGTTGAAAAATTCTGAGTTTATTTAGTTCAAAGTTGATTTGGTTCAAAGTTGATTTAGTTCAAAGTTGATTAAGTTTAAAGTTTATTTAGTTCAAAGTTGATTTCTTTTTTCACTTCTCCGCCTGTTTTTTTCACTATTCTTTGGTTTAGTTTACAAAAAACTAACAAAATTTTACAAACGATTTTCTCTTTTCAAGCCACCGCCGAGAACAACTACAACACCGGCTACGGTAGGTGGTTTTGCTTCTTTCATTCACATTTTCGTTACCAATCTTTTGCATGAGTTTTTTTTTGTTTGAAAAACTTCTTAGTTTAATGAAATCATAATAGTTGAATCTTGAAGAAATTCCCGTAAATACCCGTAACAACTTTGGTGTTCTTTATGCGCCCGCGTAATCGCTAGCGATCTGGCGCACGGCATTTGGTAAAGTCCCTTCCTCAACACATTCGTTAACTTGCCTGGCTGGAGGCTATCGTGATCACGAAGATCATGGACCATCGTTGCATTGTTGGTCAAACGCATTCCGTTGAATGTATTGGCCCATGAGGCACTCCAAGCCAGCATTCCAGGCATCAAGCCCAGATTCTTTGCGTGAGCCCAAAACAACAACAAGAACATTTATACCGTGTGATTTGTTGATAACTTTATTACTTGGCATGCTGGAATGGGAATGATCCCTGTCAAAACTTTGAAATAACTCCCAAATGTGAAAATTTGTTTAGAATATTTTCATCTCTAAAATATTGACCGTTTATTTGCAGGCGGCCGATCGGAGACAGTGGATGTGGAGCGTTTGAATTCTTTGTTGAGAACGCTCGACAAAACGTGGGTTTTGCCGAGAGTCGGCGCTAAAGAGCCCGTGGGAAGCAATTTTCAGGTGAGAAAGTGGTCAAAAAAAAACATTGAACAAGACGAGGTTTTCAATTCTGCTCCGTTACATTGTTTTTTTAGTACAAGAAAACTTGCGCCTCGATCTACAAGGCTCGTCATGGCGCGTGTCAACAACTCGGCTTCGGCACAATGTGCTTCAACTATTGTAACGAGAGAGGTTTAGTTATTTCATTTCTATCGCGTCTTCTTTTCATTTCAAATATCTTTTTTGCCAAATTTTTCTCAACTTTAAAAGAAATACTTTAAAAAGTGGAACTTTAAAGTTCTTTAAAGATTTTCCTTTCAAACGCAACAAATATTAGGTTGGTGAATTGAATTGAAAACTGTGGGGCTTTGAACTAAAATTTATTCAACATAAAGCGACCAACTCACTCCAAATAATTTCCATTATTATTGACGACTTCTGCCCATTTTACAGGCAATTTGCGGATTCCTCTTTCTTCGTAGGATTTTGGTTTGTGTGTGAGACAAGTGTGAGACTCAAAAATCGAGGACTGGAGATGTCTCAGTTTGAGCACTTTCTTCAAAAGAAACCCATTTTGGTGTCAATAGAAAAGTTGTAGAGAATCAAAAATGAGGCTTATAGCCAAATTTCCAAAAAGACTGACACTTAGTAGTTTCGCTTAAAATGCAAGTTTTGTGAAAATTCGTAAATTTGGCATTTCTTGAAAAGCAGTTTTTGAATCGTTCTGAAAATTTGGATATAAGTTTGATTTTTGATTCTCTACAACTTTTCCATTGACACCAAAGTGGATTTCTTTTGGAGAAAGTGCTCAAACTGTCACATATGACAATAGCCCGCAGTTTTCAATTCACCAACCCAATACTTCTGATTTTGACATACAATCGTGAGATATGGGGAATTCAATAGGTAATCGCAAATTTTAGGCGAGAAATTGGTCTTCAAGTGTCAGGACACTTCAGAGGCCTCCTATTGTCGTCAATCGGCTACTTTTGACATTTTCATCGCCAAGTATCGAAAAGATGCCTACAAAGCGAAAGCCTACGTTCATCAGGTGTTTATTTTTGACAATATACTCAAATTAGACGAAGAATTAAAGCGTAGCTATTGCTTAAACATGAAATATACACTGAGATAAATAAAATACTCCTTAAAGTGCCTTCAAATGAATCTTGAGAACGGCAACACTCAGATTAGACATTGTAGGAAACGAGTCACTTCAAACGGCTCTTCTTAGCAAACAGCTCTTACTTTCTAAAGCGTGGATACAATACTATTTCAAGCTTTAGAAAAACAAGAGCTATTTGCCTTAGCTATTTGCTAAAACGTGGGACTGACTCGTTTTCTGCAAAAACTACATAATTCAGATGATCTCTCGGTGCTTCGCGACAGCTATTTGCAACACGCAAACGGGTATCCTCAACTCGACCCTCATCGAAGAGGACTTTCAACCAGAAACCACAACAAAGGTAACCAATAAAACGTCCTAAATTAGCATAAATCAACCACCCTAAGCATTCTAATAGAAGAGCCAGCTCTTCTATTTCTCAATGTCTCTCTAAAATTCTTTTTTTTGCGTCCTAGCTTCGTTTTCTGTCCTAGCTTCTGCTCAAAAAGCTCAAGACCTCAAAAATGAGTGTTTTTATCAGATTTTCATCCCGTTTTGACATCATTAAGCTTTTTTTAGTCTTTAACTATTATTTAAAGCTTTTGAAAGTGTTTAAGCTTTCAAAAGTCTTTAAAAACTTGATCATTTTGCTATCTTTTTTGACATTTGACAAATTTGAAAAAAAAAATGGAAAATTTTCGTCTAAAGGGCTCTTTAATTAGAATAAATACAGTATATTATTATAGCTAAACATAAATGTTTTCTCTTTCTCTCTCTTTCAAGAGAGTTCTCTTTCTCTTTTCTCTCTCTTTTCTCTCTCTTTAATCTCTTTTAAGAACTCCGTTTTTGAATTCACTAATTTCTCCTTCTCATTCCACATTTAGCTCACCGAAAACATCGAAGAGCTCTCCCCGGAGGAGGTGATCAGAAAGATAAATCTTTCGGTTTAAAGCTGTTTTTTTTAATATTCCATTTTGCTTATATATTCCATTTTGCAAGCTAAGCATGCAAAGCTCGAATTTCGGCTGATCAGATTCTCGTTTGAGGATCACAAAGAAAAGAAAGATATCAAAGCATGTTTCCAAAAAAAAATCGCCTCATTTTCCGCGCTTGGGAACGGTTTTGTTTGACAAGATGTCAGAAATTAAAAGCTTATCCAAATTTTTGATTAAAACTATTATTTATGTTTTTTAGGTTCCCCGTTTGAGGATCACAAAGCCGGCTGGTGGTTTCGTGCTGCCGGGAAAATCTGGCCGAAACAAGCCAAAAGAGGAAGAGGTAAACGGGAAAAGAATTTGAATAGCTAGGGAAATAGTCAGAAGAAAGGCATATTTGATTAAATGCATAATTTTTTAACAAACTTTTATCAGTCCTAACGTTTTCGTGGCTCAAAAAAAACCCTTTTGGCAAGTAGATTACTTTCATTGATCCTTGAATCTGAACCTATATCTGATCTTTTTCTGAATCTGAATTACACTTAACTCCCTCTGGAGTAAGGGAGTTCAAGTGCGTTGTGGTGTAATGGTTAGCACAGTTGTTAAACTTTTAAACATTAGCCGTACGTAATGGTTTCCTGGGTAAACTTCCTGTTGAGCATTGCTCTAGCTTGTGTGCTAAGCGAAAGGTCTAAGCAAAGGTCTAAGAAATGCTAAGCGAAATGTCGGGGGTTCAAGTCTCGGCAGTGCACGAGTTTTTGATCTGCTTCGAGTTCCAACTTTACGACCAAATAAGATCTAGATTTTTTTGGTTTTAGCTATCAGATAAGATATAAGCTTGGGAAAGGGAAGGCTTAGAATAGAATCTTTAATTTATTTTCAGATCTCATACCCAGGACGACCGGTGAAACAAAGAAAATACAAGGTTAGTTAGAGAGCGTTTTCCAGAACAATTCGATTAAGGTTTTTAGAATGAATAAAGCATAAAACAAGCATAAAAAAAATTCCAGCCAACAACCACAATTGCTCTACCCGAACCAGAGTTTCCCGTTGAGGAAGTCGAAGAGGAACCACAAGAGGAAATCGTTCAGGTCATTCAGGAGAAAGTTTTAACAAAATCCATTGCAAATATGTAAAGCAAATCAATTTTCTGTAGCTTTAACCAATCAGACTACTTCAAAACCTACTTCAAAACCAAATTCAGGTGGTGGAAACAGTTGCAACAACGCGTTTACCCGCTCGACGAACTACCACGCAAAAGGCGAACATTTGGGACAAGTGAGTGAACTTGAAAAGCTCAATTCTAAGCGGATTCAGATTCACGTTGAGCGCCAAGGGGAAAGCGACCCCGAAATACATTCCCTTCTGGCAGAAACTCCTCACAACACCGTCGCCAACAAGGACGAGAGTTGAGGAGAGCGCCGAGGTGGCCAATGAGGAAGAGCCACAGGTTCATTTAACATTGATGCTCAAAATCAGATATTTTTTGGTTTTATTGCTAGTTTAACACATTCACGACAATCTAGACCACCAAATTTTTGATTTCAACTCGTTTTTAAACACTTTTGTTATCTATTTTGCAGAAATTTCTTAGTAACTTTGTACTAGCTTCTAGGAGATTCAAGGCTATTAAATGACTCTAATACATTGCTTCAACTAATTATAGAGCCATTTTTTAAAACTCTTTTGACTTTTAAAAGGAATCAATGAAATTCAGCTTTAACTAGTAGAAAAATCTTGAGACTTTTCTGTACATTTTCGTCTTTTTTCTTCATTCAGAAGCTGCTAACCGTCGTAGCGCTTTATCTGCAAAAGTCAAAAATGATACTTTAGCGCTCCAACTAATTATAAAGCCACAATTTTTTGTTTGTAGTTGTTTTTTTCCGTTTTCCATTTACTTATAATTCAATTGACTTTACTTTATTAAGTGATTTTAAAGTAATTGCAAGAAGTAAAAGGCTCGAGAGCTTTGACTTTGACGAAACGAAAAATCGAGGCATATAAACACAATGAGAAATCGAGAAATTGCTCGACTTCTGGATCGATTTTTGCAGACGGTTAGCAACGGTTAGCAACAAGCGCCACGGTTAGCAACAAGCGCCACGGTTAGCAACAAGCGCCACGGTTAGCAACAAGCGCCACGGTTAGCAACAAGCGCCACGGTTAGCAACAAGCGCCACGGTTAGCAACAAGCGCCACGGTTAGCAACAAGCGCCACGGTTAGCAACAAGCGCCACGGTTAGCAACAAGCGCCACGGTTAGCAACTTCTAAATGAAAATGTACAGAAAAGTTTAGTACAAAGATTTTCTACTAGTCAAAGCTGAATTTCGTTGATTTCTCTCAAAAGTCGCTTTAGTTGGAGCCATGTAGTTTCGTTTTACTTCAAATTTACTCCAAATCTACTCCAAATTCTTAGGAAAACAGTGAACGACTGTACCGTCGTCGTCGCGAATGTGTTAATATCGTAAAAACTCTAATAGAACGGCCGCGCTATAGAGCTATGGAGCGTCGCGTAGTCTAGGTTTACTCTCAAAGAAACGCTCATAACTCGACACCAGTACGTTTGTTTCTGCGCGCCTAGGTATTAAATTAAAGTAGAGAGAACGGGTGATTTTTTTTGAGAAATAACACATATTTTTAGCATTAACGAGCGCATAGAAAAATAATTGAAAATCGGCGAAAATCAGCTCTTTTCATTATTTTTCAATCTTTTTTTTTCTAAACGCTGGTTAATGCTAAAAATATGTGTTATATAGCTGAAAAAAATCACCCATTCTCTCTACTTTAATTTGATACCTAAGCGCACAGAAATAAACGTACTGGTGTCGAGCTATGAGCGTTTCTTTCAGAGTAAACCTAGACTACGCGACGCTCTTATAGCGGGGCCGTTCTATTAGAGTTTTTACGGTAGTTTAGTTTAGAGCCTGACATAGTCATTGTTATGTTCTGTTTATATGAAAGATAAGAAAGATAAGAAAGAAAGTACCAGCTATTTTTCTGGAATTGCTTACCGTTCAAGGTACTTACAAAGTTTTTCGTGACATTAGCCATTGTTAATTATTGCTTATTACCAAAATCCGTCTCATTCTTGGTACATTTTGAGTGGTTCTCGGCCGCTCCCAAATATCGTCGAGTCACGCCGACGAGTGTTCGCTATAAAGTGACACTGCCGACGAAAGTGCCTCGTGGTTTGCGTACTCGCACTTCTCCACGATCAACAAGTCCCACGACAAGCATTTCCCCAATTATGGTACCAAAATCTAAGCAGTCACCTCTTTTTCTAAAGCTTCTTTTCTATCAAATGCGGAAATTTCCTTGGGTAGCACTGGCAACACCCCTACACAGCTTACAGTCTCAAAATGTTCAAAATCAAATACGCATAGATCTCAAAATGATCTCAAATATCATTTTACTCATAAGATTTACAGATTTTTCAACTCCCAATCGCTCATTTTCCCTGCCAATATTAATCTCAGCTTTTTATGCACTTTTTGATTTGAATGAAATGGATAAGTTTCGAGATATTTCCAGAATGTCACCGAACCCGAGTTACCAGTGGAAGAAGTGGAGAAGACGACGAAATTCGTGACTCAAGCTGAAAAGGAGCGAACAACACAGGCACCAAGTAAATAAGAGAATTGTAGTTAAAGTTATGAGTTAAAGTTACGAGTTAAAGTCAAATCGTCTCGCATTTTACTCTCAAGTAAAACTTTCTTTTTGTTAATGAGAAAACTCTCTTTCTTTCAGTTGTGGAGAAAATTGTCGACCCTTCAACTGAGGCGCCGGCTGAGGAGGAAATTGAGGAAGAGACGACAATCACACAAAAGATCGCTACAACGTGAGTTTTCAAGGAATGACTAGATTGGGTACATGACTAGAACTGACTAGAAAGTTAAAAGTGTATTACTTTCTAAGCTTACTGCTTAGCTAACTTTACTGCTAACTTTACTTTACCAAACCTGAGTTATTCTTTGAGAAAAAGTGGCTAAAGTGGCATTGCGAAAGTTGATTTTCTTTACAAATCGTATGACCCACAATAAACAAGCTAGTGCTTACTTACAAGCGTAATTAAAAGCTTACAAGCTAGTGCTTACTTTCCCTTAATAGTCAAATAAAAAGCAAAGTGGCTTGTCGACGGGTTAAAGTCAGTAAAGTGTTTTGAGGTAGGCTTTCAAAGAAATGAATGCAAATAGGTGACTTTCTTGCTTCGCGTATCAGTTTCCCTTTCTTCGATTCATTAGAAGTATTTCCAGAACAACAACATCACGACCGCCAAAGCAACGAGGCACAACGAGGTCTCGTCACACTTTCAAGCCGCTTCCCGTCACTCCACAAGGGCCCGATCTCGCATTTATGGTGTGTTTCGTAAAGAAAATGGAAAAAAATGGAAAAAAATGGATCTATTTCAAGTGGTAACAAAAACTTTTCCAGACAATAGCACCGGGAACAATCGTCATAGGGGTAAAGTGAATCTTTCTCGACAAAATATCTATTCACTTTAAGTTATTGCTTGCGTTTGTTTATGATTTCAAAAATGCACAATCACAAAACTAGAGTACACATTTAAAAAAAGCACGAGCACTATTGAGTTTCGTGGCATACTGTAAATGTTGTTTTTTTTAGAAACCGGGAGATCCAAACAGTGCAGAACAATTACCTGGCTTCTGGAACAAATTTCAGCCTGGAAGATGGTAATTTTTGAAGAAAATCCAGTCCAATCAATCAATTAATCAACAATTTAGGTATCAATCAATTCACTATTTGACGAACACCGGACGGTAGACGCTGTTTGAAGAGAAGAGAATTTCGCATTGAATATCTTCATATTGTCATGTTTTTCACTCATTTCGCTGCCGGGTTAGTCTACCCCAAAAAGTCTTTCTTTCTCAACTGGATATCTTTTCATAACAGATTATTCTCCACTATTTTGTGATTCTCACATCCCAGTAGGCCATATTGGTTGTTGCCCTTCCCCAGTGAGTTTTCCTCTCAACAAAATTTCTCGAATTGTATTTTTGCATACACCGATAAATCTAATATAGAAATTTATTCTCTTTTTTCTTTTTGTATCTCTACTATAAGCTATGAAAATATATAAATAAAACGAAGCAAATGAGCAAGAAATCGTCTTGGCAAAAGTTCCTAGGGAAAAATGTCGCAAATAAAAAAATTATTAATGATGTCATTCGGATAAATGAAAGATACGAGAATTTCTCCACAACCTTTTCATGCAAACGTGTCATAATGAAGTTTTTGGATACAGAGGAAGATAAAGCCAAAATACTTTAGCATATGATAGCTTTGGAAAGAAAGAAAAGATGGGAAAGAGAAGCTTTTAGAAGGAGACACACAAACAAACAATATCTTAACCCAGCTATAGAAGAGCTAAATATCACAAAAGGCGATTACACGACGGTGGCACTCGTCAAACCAGATATAGAAAATTCTGAAAGAAAAATCGAATGAATGGGGGAGAAGCAGAGCGGTACTACTAATCGATTAGGGAGATTTGAGCGAATCCGGTCAACGTTCGTTCATCGGGAATCTCGTTGGGAGCAACACCAGAATTGAGAGCAAAAGTCACACCCCGTTTGTCGGATTTCTTCTCAGCTAACTCTGAAAACAAAGGCTTATGCTTCAATTCTAGTTTAGTTTCAGGTTGATGGAACTTACCAATTAGTTTTCTTAGATTCGCAGCCACAATGACAAGATCATGACAGTCAATCAACTCAGCTGTCACCAATTCGTGTGCTATTCCATCAACCTAAAAGTAAAAAGATTTAAATGAAAAACGATTTTCAAACCGTATCACATTGCGGTGTGTAATCAAATTTGATGTCGTTTAACTCACGTTGTTGATTTCTCACGCGGAGAACCTAAAAAACAAGTTAAACGATTTCTGAGCGACTCTTAACCAAATTTAGCGTCGGACCCTCGGCTCCATCACCGATAGGCTCTTGTTTTACTGTCTCTTGCGATTTACCCTAAAAGCCAGGCTTGCTTAGAACACACAAATATTTTACCTCCTCTTCCTCATCACTGTCACTGCTGTCATATTCAAATTCCCATTCACCTTGTGGATTTTTCTTTAGTTTACCCGATGCTACCTAAACATATTTTGCTTTATTTTGGGTTTAACAAACAAAAAAATATATGATCGCAACTTAAACTTATCGTTAATTAGTGAAAGCGTTATCATTAAAAATAAAGAATAAATCTTTATAGGCAAGCTTTTTTTCCGGCAATCACCCGCAGCTCTGGCACGCTGGTCTCTGCCAAAAATTTCAAGAGCTCACGACTACAAAGAGCAAGACCGATTTAAAGGTAACTAATGGACGTCTACAAAATAAACTAAAGATTTTCAGAGAAAGAGTTCTACATGCATACCCCACGAACCGATCGTTTGCGAATAGAAGCCTATCAAAAATTGGATTAAAAATCAAAACTTTTACGAAGTTAGGCATTTTTTTGTCAAAAAAACGTGCCTTTTTGGATGAGCTGGAGGTGTTGGCAACGGGGAAAGCGGCAAGGTTTTCGATCAACGCATGCGCGAGATATTTTTTATCCTTGGCTTTCTTGAAGAATGAGTACTTCAATAATTCGGAAGCTGTTGGGCGTTTAGTTGGATCTTTCTAAATAAAGAAAAGTTGTTGCCAATAAAACAGTACCAAACCTGAAGGCAATCCTTGATCAAATTTCGAAAACTCTTCCCATATGCTTTGTATTGGTCCTTCTTTTCAGTGTTCGTTTCCAAATTTGGAGGGTCATTTTGTAGGGTGAGCATCAACACCTAAAAAAAAGTCTAGAAAAAAAAATATACTCCTTACCTTCATTGGTGGGTATTTGTGGTAGGGTGCCGTTCCAGTTGCCAGCTCAATCGCCAATATCCCAAGACTCCAAATATCAGCCTTGTAGTCGTATCCTTGAACCTGTTCCATCACCTCGGGTGCCATCCTAAAAAGAGAATATTACAAAATGTACACTTGAATAACCCTAAATCCCTAACAAACACCACCCCCTCACGCGCGGCATCCCTAACCCCAAACTTCCCCCTCAAAAATTATGGACACAATGGTCTGGGCTACCGACTCTCGTTCCGTGACAGATACCCGGCGATCTTCCGCCTCCAAATTTGCAATATGGAGCCAAAAAACCATCAGTGATCCTTTCTCGGCACCAGAGATTCGGCACACCACCAGATACATTTCACTCAGTGTGCCCCAGTAGACGTCATAGAGAGACGAGAATTGCTTACCAGCAGGGCGTTCCAACGAAAGTGTGTCGGACTCTCTAAAAATATAAATGAGCCTTAGTTAGGGTTTCCCCAAAAAAATCTCAAAAATAACGGCGGCGGGTCAAATATATAAGACCCATGGATGCGACGTGCTTGGGAGCCATATCCCACCATTAAGCCCCTCTAAACACGCCGCATATGGAGAAATGGTTTTGAAAAAAGCGTTCATTGCTATTTTTTTAAGCTTTTTATTTTTAAGTAAAGTAAATTCAATACTAACCTGTCGACTCAAATCGCCTCCTGACGCGGCAAGCCATCCAGAAACTCCAAAATCAGCAATTTGAACAGTTCCATCGTCCGCGATTAAGATGTTACCAGCCTTAATTAAAGATAAGAAAATAATTTTAATTCTAAAACCTTTATATCACGATGGATTTGTCCCGTTGAATGGAAGTACTCAAGCCCTTTTAAAACTTCCCGCAATATCGTCGCAATAGACACCTCATCCACAACGCCGTACATTGCTTGTTCTTTTCCCATAGCCTAAGAAGGGGTGTTAATAAGCTTACTAAGTATTTACTTTGTTACCTTTATTTTTCTTTTCAGAATATCAAGCATCGATCCACACGAGAGAAGGCGCATAATAACCCAAAGCTCCTCTCCAACAACGAACGAAGCATAATAATTGACCACATTTGGATGAGCACACTGCGACATCGCCTAAAAACAAGTTCAAGCTTGATCTGAAAAAATGTTTTTCAAGTCTTTTCTCACCTGAATCTCGTGGCTTAATTCATCTACCGAAGTTTGACATTTTTCCAAATTTATGCACTTGATGGCGCATTTTTCGTTTCGAGGGACACAAAAGGCCTAATGAAAGGTATAAGCTTTTCTTGCAAATAAAAACCCTTACTTTATACACAGTAGCCGTTGCACCGACTCCGATGCTTCCCTCAATCTGGTAGTGTTCTTTACCCGATGGCCAAGTGTCAGCGGGGTCACCCATCTAAATCAAAAGAAATTTTACAGTTTTTGTCGGAAATTCACATAGAACATTCATAACATTTCACAAGCTCATTTTTAAAAAAGTTATTTACAATAAAAAGGAAAATTCAGTCTACTTTTCACCAGTCACATAAACAAATTTCTCTCATCGCCTATCGAACTGAATCAGGATGGAAAAGTGAGAAATGAGAGAAATCCGATCAGAGGTGACGCCACTCAGCAATGTAAAATTGAACCTTCAAGGTAAATCGGCGGGTAGCAACCGCAACCAAACCAACACCAAACGTTTAAAAAATTTTATCGACATGGTACAGAAAAGCTTTCTTTGCATAGAAAATGACGAGCGCTCAATAAATAAGGGATTAGTTTAATCATATCACAGTATGGAAATTAAAAGTCAGACATAAATGACCTTTTTAAGTAAGAAATAATTTAAAGGCAAAGTGAAAAATGAGAACAGGCAAAGTTAAACAAAAGATCCAAAGTAAAACGGAATAGATAGATAAAAAATCGGAACTCACAGAAAGGGAAAAATGCAAACCGGATTATGTTTCGAGGATGCATGTAAATAAAAAATCACAGATTTATAAAAGCATCGAGTTGTTTCTCATCTAAGTCGGCAATTCTTTCAAAGAATGAATCGCATCCTGGAGCAGTTGGATTTGAGCCTGAAATTTTAAAAAAATGAAAAATGAATGTCGCTTTTTATGTTTCAAAAGCATTTCGCAACGCAGTTCCATCTGAGACAAGAGGTCTATTGAGAAAGAGTCTAACAGTTTAAGTAGTGAAGAAGGGTCATTCAAACGTTTTTCTAATAGAGACAATGTTAAAATGAAGGGGCCGTAGAGATAGGAGAAATGTGGTCGCGGTTTCCGGCCGCGCGCGGCATACAGCGCAGCACTTGCGATCGCCATTGGGTAGTGAACCGCGACGGGGAAAAGAAAAGATTAAAGGGCATGGGGAGAGACCAGAGAAGCTCCCAGGCAAAAGGATTACACCCGCAAAATATCAGGGAAAACTCGTTGGGATGAGAGAAGGCCGAGAAGTGAAATTTCGTGCTTTGCACGTGGGCCTGGCCGGCCGTCAAGCGCTGTAGAGGCTTCTTCCTGGGAAAAGTCGAGTCGCACGGTGCCGCTTGTGCAAAGCGCTCAACCCTTCACTTTGCAAGTAGAGAGCGGGTCAAAAGTCAAAAGGTCATAGAGATATCTGCTTGGTTTAAGACGACCTTTTTTGTGATGAAACACAAAGCTTCTTTGCATGTATTAACAGCAAGATGGAATATTTAAACTCGAAATGCCCCTGTATCAAAATGTTTTTGATCTCCAACTTCTTTTAATCTCATACCTTTGTATGTTTGATCTCCAACTCAGCCATGTCCGTTAAGTTTTTCTTGAATGCTCCAACCCGACGCTTTTTCAGGTCCTAAAAAAGAAAAGAGTTAGTGACAAAGATGAAGAATTACCTTCAACTCGGTCTTTGCAAGAGCAGAAATGTCCTCAAACTTTTTACAAGCTTCTTGTTGATCGTTTTCAGCCTGGAAAAATATTGAAGAGTTAAATATATCAAATAAACTTTTGGAATATCGCGATTTCGCCCTCGAGCTCGTTCCAAATTTTTATTGGCAGCTTCATAATTGGCAAGGCAACGCATTCGTCGATAAAGCAAATCCTAAAAATGATATAAAACAAAAAAAAATTAAATATGCTAACCTTTGCAGCCTGCGTGTCACGTTGGAAATATGCGAGTGTATCAGCCAGCTTCAATTCTTTGTCGTTTCCAGCGCGTGCTTCAACCTAAAATGATTTGATATTAATATATTGGGCGGATTAACTTTTTTGAGCCTTTGCATTCCATCAGAGCTTCTTGTAAGCGACCTGGCCAAAGACTTGTCAGCCTCACCACGAGCCATTCTTTCGAGGCAATCCCCCAACTTTCCGTAAGTGTCAGCACAGCCTGGAAAGACTAAACTTCTAAAAAATCGAATCTTAACTAAGCTACCCTTCCGAAGTCGAACCACTCTTTCTGCTTTTACGGTAGCCTCTTTGATGTGATTGTGGTATTCGACAAGGTAATTGCGCTCGTGTTCGAAGAAGTCATCTACATCTTTCTAAAAAGAAACCTATTATTTATTAGCAGAATAAGCATAAGGCATAAACTCCTGCTTTTTTCGTAATCCAATCTTCTCCAATTTACTCTAGAAAAGGCCCAGCACTTATTATTTTTTTTTATGAAAAAAAAACGATCTATATTACCTGTCCAGACAATAGAACTTCATCGGCAGATTGAGTGAAGCGTTTCCAAAACGATTCGACTACCTCTTTCTTGTTCTTGCCACGAACAGATAACTAAAATCCAAAATTTTCATTTGAAACCTCAAATACGTACGTCATTCTCGTATTGCAAGAAGATCCGGAAGTTTGTATCATGACGAAAGACTGGATGCGCAGCAATTCGACACAAAAAGACCTCATGCATTGCTACCGTCTTTTTGAACGTTGCAAGGTATTCTCTGAAAGATAAAGGCATCGTTCGTAATTCGGTAACCACATACTGCTCCAGTTCGTGTTTCATCTTCGAAAATTCTTCTTTGGTCATTGTTGATTCACCCTCGCCAAGTTTCTGAAGTTTCTCCCTAGATGCATCAAAGTCTGGACGTGGAGGCGCCGGAGGAATCTAAAAACTCATCATTCAATTCACCAAAATATATCTTACAATGAATCCAGCATAATTCTCGTTTTCATCGAGACAAGAGTGAAGCCACATAAATTCCTCATGTTCACGCACCACTGACGTTTCAGCTTTCATATCGGTAATTCCTTTGGTTCGTGTATGCACAGTATATTTAACCTAAAGAACACAATAGCGAAGTGATCAAATTGTCAAAGACCTTGTCTCTTTCGGATAAAGCATCGGAGATATCGACAAGAATCGAGTTGTCTGCATCCAAGTCAACATTGATAGCCTCCGTTCGATGCTGAAACATTTACATGAAATCCAATTTTTTTCTGCATACGTTATTACGTGTTAGGGCTGCCATCAATTTTTAAAGACGAAATAATGCCTCTTTTGGAAGCACAAAATCAATTTTTAGCGGGCGCTGATAAAGCGCCCTCTCACATTTCGTCACAAAAATCGAATTCTAGCCATTTGCCACAGCACACCCAAGGACTTTTTTAAATGGCGTTTTGTTTTAGAAGTTTTAGTACAAATTCTTATTTTAGCACATCTCACTCAAGCTTTTACACATGAAACTATTTTAGTGCATACAAAAGAAACCTTTTCAGTTTTACATGATACCTCATTTTCGACACCCCAAAACTGACCGTTCTATGGTCATCTGTAGGCGAAGATTGATTTGCTTCTCGACCCGATCCTGGACTGATTCTTCCCTCGTTCGACAAGTCTAATGGAGTCTAAAAATGGAGTCTTTAGTAGATAAAGCGCATTAATTTTAATGTTTGACAAAATAAAGTCAGGCCCATGAACATGAATAAGCAGCGCAGCCATGTTCATGAACACAGCTATAAACGCTTAGCCCCCAAAAAAACCCACCCCGGTATTGATAGGACTTTGTAGAGGATTGGTAAACACGTCTTCCGAGAGTAGCTTGGACATTCTAAAATTTGACGGCTTATTAAAAAACGAATAGGTAACAAAGAAATGCCCAGAAACTTGCAAAGAAAAGCATAGAAGTAGGAAGTAGGCTACATTCGAAAAGTTCTAAAGGTGAATACAGTTGATTACTTGCGCAAAAATAATCAACAATATAAAAAATCAAGTTTGTCAATTTTTTACGAACTGGATGACCCACAAAAGCTAAACCGAAATCAAAAATGATCAAGAAATATTACTCTTCAAAGCCGCCTTCTCCTGAGCGCGGTTTGTTCCGTTTTGCGAGCTAAAGTAGAAAACAACCGCTCTTGTTCAAGAATTCTTAACACAAGCCTATTCTCGACTTACTCCAAGAGTTAGAATCGTTTTGATCATTGCTTTAGAGATTTGTTTACAATATCAAAAAGTTAGTCATCGGAGAGCTGTGTGGAAAATGAAATTGGGAGAAACGTTCACGCCTTTGTACACCCAATTCAAAGTGCTCTATGTCTTTTTTGAATGAGAGCGAAATGGCTGAATATCTTCCAGCTGTTTATAATTATTAAAGCTTTCAGTTTTACAGACAACTTTTTGGGGTAGGTTAATTCCCGCCATTTTATTTACGCAACTGGGTCTTTTGCGCAACTCGCTATAACTTTCTTTTAAGTGGGCCAATTTTTATGACTTTAGTGTCATTTTGTAGATCTCAACAAGTGCAACAAAATGACACCAAAATCATAAAGATTGGCTCACTTAGAAGAAAATTATAGCGAGTTGCGCAAATAAAATAGCAGAAATTGGCCTACCCCGACTTTTCTTCTTCATTTTACAAAATTTTCTAAATTTCTAATTTTAGAGCTTTCGACGACGGGACGAGGACTGGAAACAATATAATATAAAATATAAAAATCGGCACTTTCACGTCAAGTGAGTCTTTTTCTCTTATTTAGCACTTTACAATAGTTACAGTCGTCAAAAAAGTCTTGGCTGGTCAGTGTTCACTTGGTCCATAGATCACATCCAAATATATTGACCATAAGTAGTTTTATGTAACGTTTTCAAAGGTTGTTAATCTTAGTCAATGTTAATCCCTCTTATGCAAAAGTAGCTTGAAAAATTCTAGTTAGAGCGATATCAAAAATCTAAGAATACTTAAAGATCACTTAAAGCTCTCACAAAATAATACAAAAAAACTAATTGCGATCGATTTATTTAAATACAATCTAACGGGAGAAAAATGAGAAAACATTGGCCGGCCAAGACTTTTTTGACGACTGTATTGCACGTTCGATTCTTTCATTTGAAAGTTTAAAAATCAGGTGCATACATTTTAGGTGAATTTCCAAAATTTTCCTTTTTTAGTTTACCGTCATTTCGCCCTTCAATTTTCTCGGCGCCGCTTTTCAACGATGGAGGGAGTAGAGAACGAGAATGTCTATGGAAAGGTGGGTAAATTTTAATAGTTATGTTAGTAGTTCGATGACATAACTAAGGTAATACCTAGTATTTATAGCTAGGGTAGTAGTTTTTTACAGTATTGTTGTAACTTTTTAGGCAGAAGAATACTGGAAACAAGCGTCTGCTGACGTCGATGGGATGCTTGGCGGCTTTGCACATCTACACACACCCGATATAAAAGACTCAAAGGCTTTTATACAACAACTCAAGAAGAAAGTTGGTGCTTCTGTGTTTTCATTCACTATATGTTTTAGAATTTATTAATGAACATGGATTATGCATTGGATTGTGGCGCCGGTATTGGGAGAGTAACGAAACATTTGTTGATGCCCTTGTTTGGTAAAGTAAGTTTGTTTACAGAGTTTTTTAAATAGTTGGGAAACTTTGTATCTCTTCTTTTTAGGTTGACATGGAAGACGTTGTCGATGAGTTAATCAAAAAGTCGGACGATTACATCGGAAACGATGCTCGAGTGGGCCAGAAATTTGTTGAAGGCAATTTGTAGATTTATTTTCTATTTAATTTTAATTTAGGTCTGCAGACATTCACTCCACCTGAGGGTCGCTACGACTTGATATGGATACAATGGGTCAGCGGTCACTTAACTGACTCAGATTTCATTGAATTCTTTCAAAGATGCAAGGTTAGTGACACTTTTTGGAAATTCACGGTTAAGTTTAACAATTCTTGAACTAAAAAATAACTTGCTTACCTGCTACTGCTACGTGTAAAAAATAGCTACTATTTTTTAATATTCAATATTACTCTTAATTTTCAAGTGTTTAGCAAGGATTGCGTCCCGGTGGCTGCATTGTGCTGAAAGACAACTTGGCTGGCGGAGAAAAAGACGAGTTTGATGAGGAGGATCATTCATGGACTCGACCAGAAGCAAAAGTACAAATTTCTAGATATTTTTGGTTTATCAATTGCTTAGGTGCTCAACCTTTTCACCGAAGCTGGTCTTCAGATGGCTGTTTCGAAGACGCAAACTGGTTTCCCCAAAGGAATGTACAAAGTCAAAATGTTTGCTCTTAAATAAGTTTATTGTTCTCTTTGTTGTAAATACTGGTACTTTTGCTCAATTTTTTATTTTCAATATTTAATACGGGCTTTTTCTTATTACCTTGACAGTTTTAGAAGTTAATAAATGTAAATCGATTAATCGCTGAGTACGTGATGGTTAAACACTTGAATTTGGCTACCTACATAGATCAAAACAAATGATTGATCTGTTGATTAAACTTTTTGACATGGTTTTTCCCTTTTTCGAAAGAAAACGGCTGGCAAGTAAACAGCTTCTTTGGGTGAAGGTCATCCCGGTGCCTCCATCACTTAACTTTGCACAGGTGAACAACGTCGAGAGCTTGCAAATCTGGTATCAATGATAAAGATTAATCAAAATTAAATCAATGCTTAATTTCTCTAACGATGCCCACTAGTTTATCGAGTCGAGAAACCCCGACAAATGTGCCGCCACCAAGTGAGTTTTTTGGATGGGGCAATTTTTAGGGAAGATGTGCGTTTTAGAAGGAACAGGCGTTATGGCAGAAGGATGGTTGATTAAGGCGAGAGAGCACGGCATTCGATTTCCTATACTAAAGGTACAAAGTTTAAAATCGGATTCTTCTAAATAGAATATTCAGTCTAAATGGGCTCGTCATTATTTCGTGCTGCGGAGCTTGTCGAATCGAGCGTTTGCTCTGGATGAATATCGTAGTGACGATCGAAGACGATTGAGAAAAACCTACAATATGGATCAATGTATACAGGTACGGCGAAACGAATATTGCACGGCGGGCTCTACGGTAATACACTCAAGATTTTCGACATTTTAAATGCAAATTTTAAGCATAACTCAAATTTGACACTGAAATTTTAAATACAAATGAAATTAATGTAAGTACAGTCATACCTTGACTGAATATATTGAGTAACTTTTATTCTACACAACCAAAATAAAATCTAGACCGATTCCTATCTGCAAATCTCGGATCCATCATGTACGGCGGCTCGCGGAATGCAACTTCAATGGATTTTCTCCATTCATTTCAGCAAACCCGATAGCACGAAACGATCCGAATTGTACTTGGTTGCCGAAAGTGAACAAGTAACAATTATAATAGAAATTAATTTGAATTTATCAACTTTAAAAGAAAAAAGCTATATTAAATTTAGGAGATGCTTGAGTGGGTGAGTGCTATTTGTCGGGCGTGTAATCTCGAGAAACAAGACGAGACACTCGATCAACCAAAGGAAAAAGAACAATCAAGTGTGTAGATGAAGATATTACTAAAGAATAGGTCCAACAATGGAAAGATTTCTGTAAATGGAAAATTGGATTACAAGTGATTAGATAAAAGAATAAACCTAGGACTCCGTCGAATAGAGCCGATTCCCCGAGATGAGCGCTCATCATTTCTCTCATCGTCTCTAGCCGGAATGTCGATGTCCTCAAATGTGTCAACCAGTGAATCCACCCAAGATCACCACAACTCAAGGGTAGGAAAAATAAAAGTTTAGCGATTATGGCTTTGCTTTAAACTAATAGAGCTTCTGGCTTACTAACGTAAATAATGTAATTGAACCCCATCGGGTTCTTCTATTTTCTCCCTTTTCCTCTATGATGGGATTCTATTTTACACCATTATTTGTTACTAAATCAGGATGAATTCAAATAATTCGTTTAAAAACAAACCTATTTTTCCTCTTTTCTCAAAAGGGTCGTCCTATTAGAGCAGGTCGTTTTATTTTTCAAGATTCAAATTTTTGCTAATCGTCGTCTTTTCAATCGGTGGTTTGGGCTGGACTTCTCCCAACCAACGCAAATAATTAAGGTTAACAATTTAGATATCTTGCATATAAACTTTCAAAATCCCTTTTGTGATTAAAGATTTACAATTTCTCTTTAGCTTGATTAGAAAAGTGACAAAAATAGGTTTTTTTCGTTTGGTGGGGTTCTATTTTCCCCCTTCCCCTCTGGGATGTGGCTTAGGGTTGGGTTCAATTACGGTATTTATGATAGAATACCCCAAATAAGCAATAAGCGCTTCAAAATTAGCTGGACGATGATGAAAATGAAGAGGATGAGAAGCTAATGGACGAGTTTATTTTTCCAATGACCGGCAGCAGTTCTGGACCCTCGAAAATCCGCGATATTCGTTTCCGATCGGTGAGCAACGAGTTCGACGAGACGCAGCGCATACGGAAAAACTCGACTCCCGATTTAGAGATCCCACAGCTGCAATGGCCGAGCAAAAATGAATTGGCTGGGGTTAGCATTGATCGGGGTGTGCTCGTGAACAGTGTCGTATTGTAAAGTGTGCAAAAAAAACATTGATTTGTAAATGTCATTTTCAGAGTAAGGAGAGCAAAGACTACATGCACATAAACAAATTCCACACTCGACAAACCCCGCGTACAACTCGAACACAAAGTGGTGTCGGGCGGGCACTCGACAAGAAGAAAGATGGTAGGAATAAAAAACTAACATATTCGACATAGTTACATCAAATTTTGTGAACTAATCTTCAGAAAATAACTGGAAAAGCGAAGGGTCATCGGCGTGCAGCAGAAGCAGCAGTTTATCGAGTAGCCGAAGGAGTGTACGTAAAAACTAGACTTGTAACGAAAACATCTTCCAGTCCTTTTTTTGCCGTTAACAATTTAAGGTTTTTCGTGTTTCTCTCATCACAAACTCTTCGATTTTGACTATCCTTTGATGCAGAATAAAATTGCGCGTCGAATGATATTAATATTAACTCAAAATGCAATATCCATGTAAAGTTATGAGGCAAAAGGTTAAGTCTCGCTGGGGTTTAGGTTTTTAGCCAACAACTTTGCGTAGATATTACATTTTGAGTTAATATTAATATCATTCGACGCGCAATTTTATTCTGCATCGAATGATAGTCAAAATCGAAGAGTTTGTCCTGAGAAAAACGAAAAATCTGAAATTTTCAACGACAAAAAGGACTGGCAGATGTTTTCGTTAAAAGTCTATTAGTAAAAACTATTACTGGAACTGTAGAGAACTATTCGACTGTAGCTTTTTATTGGTTTATTAGTATAGTGACTGTAAAAGTACGATAGTTATCATTAGAAAGTGCAAAGTTATTGCAGATTTTTAAAGTTTGACCTTTTTCAGTTGACCGACGATGAGGAGGGATCGAGCAGTTGTGTGAGCAGTTCACCCTCAAATGGCAAGGATCTACCGCCAGTCGATACAACGTCGAGTACAAGGTAACTTACAAACTCTAAAAGCTCTTTTACGAAGAGCTATCAAGAATTTAAAAGTAAACATTGTTTTAAGAAGTCAACTCTCCTCTACAACGACGCCGAGTTCACTTCGACACGAGATCACGGTGAACACACTGCAAAATCAACTCTATACGGTGAGTTTTACAAAATGGCAATAAAGCTGAAGATTACTTAACAAAGGTAACAATTTAAAAAAAGAAAAATTCCAGAATCGACTCCGGCTAAATCAACCCGTACCTCCACCACCGCCAAACACCGTAATCGAAGGAGCTGAAAATGAGAGCAGCGGGGAAACTATTAAGATGTAAATCGAAAAATATCGAAAAATAAAATACATACCGTAAATACTGTAATAGTACCCCCACCGCCCTCTCGTACAGTCGCGTAGTCGCAAAAGTTTTTTAGTATTTCATTTTTTTCAAAGCGCCCGTACTTTCAAAAAATGCGTCTTTGATATCAAAAAATAGCTGAAATTCAGGGCTATTTTTTGATACCTAAGCGCGCATTGTAGCATAAACCAGTGTCGAGAAAAACTCGTTCAAAGCTAGACTACACAACACTCCGCACCGTCATTATGGGAGTAGGGTACTATTACAGTATTTACGATAGTTATTTACATAGTAATTAGAATAAAACAAAACAAATTAAATAGCATTTTCAAACTTAAAAACCAAACTTCAGCCTTGGAAAACGAAAAAGCGAGCTGAAAGCACAGCAATTCTCTCCGCCCAAGCAGATCTCCTACGTGAATGCAAGGGTGAGCCATTGATTTTTGAGGAAATAAACAAAAATAAAACAAGTCTTAGATTTTTTAAAAGCTAAAAAGTTTTCATAAAAGGATTTTCAGTCAATTTCCACCTCAAATCCCCCGCCACCATTCGTCGATCGATCCAGCAAGCCGAGTCGTTTATTCTCTCAATCGGACGATGATCGAAGCTCTTTAGATGGAAGCAAACGGTTACTCTTTTTAATAATTGAGTAGTTTAAGTGAACGATTTGATTAAATCTAATAATTTTAAACGTCCAAAGTATTGGCTAAATTCAGAAATTTCCGTCACCTCCCCGCACTTCCCAAGACAACGCCAAGACGAGGTGCGCGGGCCTATCACGAAGCACCAAAGGTCAGTATCGAACAGCTGCTAAAAAACCACACAATTTCAGTCAGCTGGTCTCGTGAGCCCGCCTCGATCCTCATTAGAGTATTTCGATCCAGTGGTTACTCGATCGGCGAGAGGCGAATCTTTCTCGGGTCGATCTCATTTCAGTCACTCGCCAGTACCCGCTTCTCATGAAATTGACTATATTCGAATCGATGCACAAAAGACACAGGTGACGGCAATGAATGGAATAGATCAGAAGTGATGACTCATGTCAGAGCAGCCAGGAAGCCAGATTCAAGTCTGGCTTTTGGCGGGCTTGGAGTAAAGCTAAAGTTGCAGTACCAGCTTCTCATTGCAGGCTGGGTCAGGCTTGGCTTCAAGTCTGAATCGGTCCAGAAAAATCACCTTTAAAACAAGCTTGAAAAGGGAATGTTTTAAATGAGCTCATTTCCAGGCGGTGAAGCAGCTGATCGCGCAACGGGGCGCTGCTTTCGACGAATAATTTCGACGACTTTAAGGCGACGCACTGCACTTCACTGTACATAAGTTATCAACCGCAAAAGTTATCAGCTATTTTTCTACTCATAGAACTTTTCATATCTAGGTAATTCATAGTTATTTTGGTCATTTTGATCTATCTATTTATCGATTTAACTATATTTTCTGATTGTTCCCTTTTGCTAATTGCTTTTCTAGTTGTCGACGTGATTTAAAAGCGAAAATTCCATTCATCATTTTGATCTATTTATCTATTTATCTATATTTTCTGATTGTTCCCTTTTACTCATTGCTTTTCTAGTTGTCAATGTGATTTAAAAACGAAAATTCCATTCTTAGTCATTGGTAAAATTTCTCTAATTTTGCTCAATCTTGTTTTTCATATCAAAATCTTCGACCAAATATTAAAAAAAGAGACCAAATTCTTCAATTTTCAATATCTACGCATATTTTCAATCATTTAAAATAATAAATTTTTTTGTTAATGAGAATTTATACGATAAAAAAATAGTCGCAATTTGCAAATATCTCTGTAAAAATTATCAAGATTTCTGTGTGCTTTTTCAAAATATTGCTCCCGGTGGTTTATCTTATCATTCTTCAAAATCAGTCGGCAAATTCGTTGACCGTTTACACACGATTTTTCTCACTCTCTGTGTACTGTGTCAACTGTGTTGACCCAGACAAGACACATTTTTCTCGTTCCCCTGCTCACCCGTTGGTCACCAATGAGCTTTCCCACGTATCCCATTGCCTAGTTAGATCTCTAGTTAGATCTCTAGTTAGATTCTAGTTAGATTACTAGTTAGATATCTAGTTAGATCTCTAGTTAGATCTCTAGTTAGATCTCTAGTTAGATTCGAGTTAGATTACTAGTTAGATCCAGTAATCTACTACTAATTAGATTATTAGTTAGATTTACTAGTTAGACTCGAGTTAGATTCAAGCTTCTACTTAAGAATAAAGCACTTAAGTCTAATTCATAACAAATTCCTTATGAAACTCTATCACTTAACACAAGAATTGAAAGGCAAGCTATTTTCTTATAAATTATTCTTTTATTGTCATTTATTGCAAAATAATTATATCCTAATATCTCCTTTGATAACAAAAGTCAATCAAAGAAGATCTAAACATTGAAATTTTGCACTTTTGCTCAATTTTGCTCAATCAAAGCTATTGAATTGAAATATTGAATTTGAATGTTTCTATAAAATTCTGTTCCCATTGATCTTCTAATTCACAAACTGCATGCTTACCGGCTCAGCCCACTTGTAATTTCGGTCGTCAAAAATTTTCTTTCTCAGCGGACTTTCAAAGTAATTCTAAATAATGTTCTTTCTCCCTCTTTTGATTGTCCTAGCGGGGTTCCTCAGGGTAGTATTCTTGGTCCTCTTTTGTTTACTATCTATATTAATGACCTGCCTAACTGTCCTTTCAAATCAAAAAATTCCTCCATCTGGCTCTATGCCGATGATGTTAAGCTTACGTTCAAAATTCCCATCGGAACTCAAGTAGCTTCGCTTGCGGCTGTAAAAGATGCAAACCATGACTTAGAACTTATTAATTTGTGGGCCAAAACGTGGAAGCTTTCCCTATCCCCTTCAAAATCTCAACATTTTTCCACTGGTAAATTTAGTTTCTCTTTGGTAATTAACAATATTCCTATCAATTACATTAGTAAATTAGATTTTGTTAGAGATTTAGGTGTCCACATCTCTCCCCCTTTTAATTTCACTAAACATATTGAAATCATTTGTCGAAAAGCTTCTTTTGTTTCTAGCCGTATTCTCAAATCAATTGTTCATCCTAACCTAAACTCTTACCGCAAATGCTTGACGACTTATATCCGGCCCATCTTAGAATATGCTTCTATTGTTTGGTCTCCCCGCGCACAAGTCTTTATTGAACGCTTGGAGAAAATTCAGAGGAGGTTCACAAAAGTCGCTTTATGGAAAATTGACTATTCTAAATATTCTAGCTTTACTTATGAGGAGAGACTTGCTTTTTTTGAACTAAAAACTTTACAGCATCGTCGCTTTGTCATTGATTTAGTCGAAACTTTCAAAATCCTCCGTTGTAAACAGATTAGCCCTTTGTTTATAGACTTTTTCAAATTTAAACCGCGGTCAGGGCCCAGAAGTGGCTCATTCCTTTTGCAAATTCCCTTTGCTTCCAATGCCTCTTTATCAAATTCATTTCCCGTTAGAGCCGCTAGATTATGGAACTTGCTCCCAAACGACATACGAGAAATTCAGTCGCTTTTCATATTCAAGAAACGTATCGATGCTTTAGATCTAGTGGCTCTTTGCCGTAAGTAATTGGCTTATTGATTTCAGTATGTATTGTATGATTAAGTATCACTGTGCATTTCTCTATGATTTCTTTCACTTTATCGTTTGAATAAAGTATTATTATTATTATTATTATTATTGAAAGTTCGTTAATTTGATTTGATTTGATTATTTGATGATAAAAAGGTCATTATTAGGAATTTTGTGAAACATTTGAAAGAGTCAGGCTTTTCTAGAAAAGAGTTTTAGCGGAAAATGACAAGAAAAATCTCTCGATCAAGTGATCAAAGGGAAATATTTTTCACAAGATTGTTGACATTTCGGAGATTTTTTTTGAAAAAACAACGTTGTCTCATTTTTGTGTTTTGCATAGTGGACTTTGCATCTTACTGATCTTTTATTAAATCAGGACTTTAAAATGAAACGGCTTGGTTTTTTGGATTGTGAGAAATTTGTCTCTGTCTTACTGACTCTGTTAAATCTGTCTCTGTCTTACTGATCTGTTAAATCTGTCCCTGGCTCTGCCTTACTGACTCTGTTAAATCTGTCTATGTCTTACTGATCTGTTAAATCTGTCCCTGGCTCTGCCTTACTGACTCTGTTAAATCTGTCTCTGTCTTACTGATCTGTTAAATCTGTCCCTGGCTCTGCCTTACTGACTCTGTTAAATCTGTCTATGTCTTACTGCTCTGTTAAATCTGTCTCTGTATCTGTCTTACTGATCTGTCTTACTGAACTGTCTTACTGATCTGTTAAATCAAGACTTTAAAATGAATCGGCTTGTTTTTTTGGATTGTGAGAAATTTGACGGCGCTTTTTTAGAACGTTTTCTATTCGGCTTTCTTTTGATATAGTCTCGTTGAATTGTACAATTATCAAATTTGTATATGATTTCCTCTTCCAGATCTATTATCAAAAGATTAATTGTTCTGAATTTAATATGAAAAAGTATTACTCTCCAGAAAAAAGGAAGGGAAATTTTTCTGACAATTAATTTATGATCGATTAGTCATCGTTTTCAGTTTTTATTCATGAATCTCTATTTCTATTTAATAAATCTAATCATTTATTTATTGATCTTTAATATTTTTTGAAGATTTCATATCGGATATTTTAATATTTCTTCAATATTTCTTCAATATTATTATTTTTTGAGTCTTTTTTTTAAGGTTTTCTATGGAGGTGGGACAAATGCGACCTTTTTTTTGCTGGAAAAGGCCTTAGGCAAGGCCGTAGAGCTTCGAAAATGTTTTCATAGAAGGGAATCGTATGCGTAGATTCCGAATTTCAACAAATCAGACCTCGCTGACACGTCAAATTTGGGCTAAAAGGCAAAAACTGCGGAAAAGCGTTAAGTTGCGTAGTTTTTGCCTTTTAGCCCAAATTTGACGTGTCAGCGAGGTCTGATTTGTCGAAATTCGGAATCTACGCATACGATTCCCTTCTATGAAAACATTTTTGAAGCTCTACGACATTTCCTAAGGCCTTTTCCAGCAAAAAAAGGTCGCATTTGTCCCACCCCCGTTTTCTATAGCTTGACGATGAATTTCTAAGGATTTCTAAGAATGGTTGCTTTTTGATTGAAATTTGTATTTATTGGCAATCAAGAAGAAAAGAGCTATATTAATCTCGAATTAACAAACAAGTCTTTACTCGAATATTCAAATTTCCTCCAAGATCTGACCCCAATTTGTGACGTAGAATGAGCGGCTTGTTCAGACTTGTCCAAGCCACGCCCACTTTTTTGTGTGGACATAAAGAACTTTCGTAAAGATTTCATTTAAAGACGATTTTAAATCATTTCTTTTTATAAAACTATTGTTTTCCCTTGAAACGAACTATTTGCTTAGCTTTTTGACAAAAAAGAAATGAGCGAAAGTCATGTGATTTCAAAGATTTTTTGAGAATTTGAGCATTTATTGCTTGAATATTTGCATATTTATAAAAAATTCTTATTTTCTTATGTTTAAATTTCAGAAGACTTTCAAAGGAAGTGATTTTCATTCAGAAAAAAACCCCGCAACTTCTCTTCATATCTCGGTTTTCGTTAAATGGTGAGTGATGCTTACCGTAAATACTGTAATAGTACCCCACCCCCATAATGACGGTGCGGAGTGTTGAGTAGTCTAGCTTTGAACGAGTTTTTCTCGACACTGGTTTATGCTACAATGCGCGCTTAGATATCAAAAAATAGCTGAAATTCAGGGCTATTTTTTGATACCAAAGACGCATTTTTTGAAAGTACGGGCGCTTTGAAAAACAATGAAGTACTGAAAAACTTTTGCGACTACGCGGCTGTACAAGGGGGGTGGGATGCTATTACAGTATTTACGGTAGGGTTAAATATTATCTATATGATAAAATAGCTTATAAATAGCTTATAGATAATCATATCGATACAATCAAATAGATAATATTATATTCTAAGTATATCTAAATATATGAATAAGTTTAGAAGATAGTATTTTTTTTTTTTAAAAACAAATTAGTAAGATTTCAGGTTCGTGAGATGGCAACAACAACGAGAACGACAATCACCGATAAACCAATGAAATACATTCTTGTCACTGGTAGTGAAAAAAAATTTGATATAATATATAAAAAAGCTAGCAGTAGCTAGTTTGATATGTAGAATTGTTATCTAGAAACTCAATAGTATAAAGCCAAAAGTTTACAGGTGGAGTGATAAGCGGTGTCGGCAAAGGGATCATCTCGAGCAGTTTGGGGGTTTTGTTGAAGAACAATGGATACAAGGTGATTTTATAAGGAAACTATAGCTAACATTTCTTAGGTAAAACATAGATTAGATAAAAATAGATAACACTATTTAAATAAAACATAGATTAGGTAAAAATCGACAACATTATTTAAATAAAACCTAGGTTAGATGAAAATTGATAACATTACTTAGATAAAACATAGATTAGATGAAAATTGATAACATTACTTAGATAAAGCATAGATTAGAAGAAAATTGATAATATTACTTAGAGAAAAATAGATAACATTATTTAAATAAAACATAGGTTAGAAGAAAATTGATAACATTACTTAGATAAAACATCGATTAGATAAAAATAGAACCTATTTATAACATGATAGAAAATGATAACATTACTTAGATAAAACATCGATTAGATAAAAATAGATAACACTATTTAAATAAAACATAGATTAGGTAAAAATCGACAACATTATTTAAATAAAACCTAGGTTAGATGAAAATTGATAACATTACTTAGATAAAACATAGATTAGAAGAAAATTGATAATATTACTTAGAGAAAAATAGATAACATTATTTAAATAAAACATCGATTAGAGAAAAATAGATAACACTATTTAAATAAAACATAGATTAGATAAAAATCGACAACATTATTTAAATAAAACCTAGGTTAGATGAAAATTGATAACATTACTTAGATAAAACACAGATAATATTATTTAAATAAAACGTAAATTCGATAGAATTCTATATTCTATATTAAAATCTAAACATTTCTCCAGGTGACTTCGATCAAAATCGACCCATATTTGAACATCGATGCAGGCACTTTTTCGCCATATGAGCACGGTTGGTTAAATGATGAATAAAATATTAATCAATTGTACATATTAGATAAAAATTAAATATGAAAATGTCGATTTGTTATTTAGGTGAGGTTTTCGTGTTAGACGATGGTGGTGAGGTGGATTTGGATCTCGGGAACTACGAGCGCTTTCTAAACATTCGACTCACTAGAGACAACAATATAACAACCGGGAAAATGTTTCAACATGTAAGAAGTTTAAATGTGAAATTTGAAAAGGATATCTAGTTAAATAATGAAAACATAATGAATATCTAGTATATAGTTAAAGTTAACTAGTTAACTAACGTTAAACTCCTATAGGCAACGTTGCGAAACTTGTTTTGAGGCTAACAAAGAGTTTTTGACTAGCTACAGTTCCCAGCTACAGTTCGTAGCTACAGCTCCTAGCTACAGTTCCTAGCTATAGTTCCCAGCTACAGTTCCTAGCTATATTTCCTAGCTACAGTTTCTAGCTATAGTTCCTAGCTACAGTTCCCAGCTACAGTTCCTAGCTACAGCTCCTAGCTACAGTTCCTAGCTATAGTTCCTAGCTACAGTTTCTAGCTACAGTTTTTAGATTTCAGTGCTCTAGAAAGGGTGTGTTTAGATGATTTAAGAGCACAAAGTACAACAGATTAATACGATCATTTTCTAGGTGATGGAAAGAGAGCGTCGAGGAGACTATTGCGGGAAAACCGTGCAAATGATTCCCCATTTCACCGATGCAATCATTGAGTCAGTCATCGTCTAATCCATTCAGCTAACAAGAAAAGCACAAATAGATTGCACAGTTTAAGAGATTTCGCACTAAGTAATCGAGATTTCACCCAATTTACTTGAACTCTTTCAGTTGGGTTGAGCGAGTCGCCCGAATCCCTGTTGACGGCACGAAAGACACTCCAGATGTGTGCATTATTGAGGTAAAGGTTTTAAATCGAAAATCTAAAGACTAATCATTTTGAAGTCATCTTTTGAATCATCATTTCTAGCTTGGCGGCACTATCGGAGATATTGAGGGAATGCCTTTCTTGGCTGCTTTTGAAAAATTTCAAACACCTCGTTTCAAGGTAGACAAAATTTTGAGTTAATCAAGTTTTAAAGTAAAGTAATTTTTAAGTTGCTAAAGTAAGATAAGAAAGTAAAAGATAGAAAGATAAGTAAGATAAGTTTTAAGTTATTTAAATTGAAAAAGATATTTAACATTTCTTAAAAAAAAAGAAAAATCACTCTGAGTTAGATGCATTTTAAAATTAAATTTCAAGTCGAGAAAGTCGTTTTCGTTGTTTTTTTTTTTAAATCTAAATCTATTTATATTATTTAGGATAATATTATGAATGTTCACGTGGGTCTAATCTTGCATCCAGATGCCACTGGAGAGCCGAAAACGAAACCGATGCAGAACTCAGTTCGTCAACTCCGAGGTGCTTGGTTTTTGAACATTCCAGGGTGGGTGTGCCAGGGTGTTTGCGGTTGAAAATGTATAGAGAAAACTCGTAAATGGAAAACAAAGGAAAACATCAAACAATCGCCTAGATTAGCTTTCATTGAACATTCCAGGGTGGGTGTGGTTCTCATTGGCATCGGTTTACGTTAGCTGTGAAAAAGGCTTGCTTCTTGTTTGGTTCTTTTAAAAGCCAGAGTAGAGCTAGAGCAGTGTCGCTTTCGATTTCGTTTCGCTAAACATTTCTAGCAAGTATATGACATGTTTTTCATAGCTTTTTGCGAGATCTTCTAGTTGTAATGTACAAATGCTCTCTATGTTACCCTTAAAAAGTTCCATTTTCTTTTAAAAAGCTCCATTTTCTTTTAAAAAGTTACATTTTTCTTTAAAAAGTCGCCTTTTTCTTTAAAAATCTGTCATTTTAAAATTTTGTTGTCCAAAATTTGAGCACAACTGGCTTTTTTTTTCCGGCTATGGGCCCCTAGCATGTTTCCAAAAGCTAAATACAATCAAAAACTCATAGCTCAATCTTGTTCATCAACTCTCAAGCACTCAGCTCTCATAATCACTTCATAGCTCACTCATTCACTTATGTCAGTGCTTGCGTTGCCACTTACCCGTCACATAATTACCCGTCACGATATGCAAATCTTTTAATTCAAATGCTCTGTATAAATTTTCACAAAAATCTTCAAAGATTTGCAGATCTGATGTCTAGGTGTCTAGTGCTTTAAAGCTTTATTTGCTTGACTCTTTCTAAATCCGAGCATTTCCAGAACGTTTCCCTGTGAGTGAACGTTTCCCTTTTTCACCTCGAGATCACCATCCAAAACAGGTATATCATTTAATGTTTCAAAATGAAAATATGCAGACAAGAAAGGAAATTTCTTCGCACTAGGCAAAGAAAGGAAATTTCTTCATCGAAAATCCGTTGCAAAGCTTTTTGCACTGAATCTCTTTCAAAAATTTTTAAGCCAACTTTAGCCAATCAAAAGAACATGTCTGCATTTCATTTTTGAGCTTTAAATGGTATACTTGGTAATGGTTGATCTTGATCTCGGATTTCCCAAATTCTCATTGAAATACTCTCTCTTTCTCGCAAACTTTTGTGAGCCAAACACAGCTCCCTTATATAAAGCTAATGGATGGGCGGATCGTATGATCGCAACATCTTTGTCCTTCTCAAATAAGCATAACAATTTTCTCGGCACAGATGGTCTCTCTTGAGATTTTTTGAACTTTCAATGCCCCTTTATGAACATTACAAGAGAAAAGTTCCAAACAAAGAGTGTTGTTTAGATTAGAAGAAAAAAGGAAGCCGGAAAACTTGAACAAAGGATAAAGGAAACACATTTATTCACGTGAATAATGTGATACAAACAATAAGCACAACCCCTAAGTCCTAAATGGAAAAAAAAGAAAAAATATTGGAAAAAACAACTAACCAAACAGCTAGCGGAATTGAAGCCTTGACCTTCCGACTAGGAGACCGGGCTCTTAGCCAGTCAGCCATGGCTCCCAAATCCCTGCTTCGGTGAAAAAAAACCTATAACTAGAGGGCATTTTCTAAAAGATGCCTATCTTAGAAATCAAACATTGAATTTTCAATTGTTCAGCTCAATTTGGTATTCATCGATGAGAAATCGCAAAGCTCAGTCAATTATTCAAATCTAATCGAATAGGCAGTTTGATTGCTGTAGTTGCAAGATTGTAAAGATAGAAGTAATCAAAATAAAATTTCAAATTTGATATAAAACCGCAAAACCCAGGCTCACCCAACTTGCCAGCAAAATTTATAGTGTTTTTTTGTTATAAAAGATTTAAAAAGCTTTTCAGCGGCTGGTTTAAAGCCAGATCTCTTGATTTGCCGTTCAAGTCAACCACTTGAGGTTCGCTTACGGAAAAAGGTCGCCGATTTTGGGCTTGTCGATTTAGAACAGGTGAGGCAAATGAAAGACGTTGACTGGTGGCTTTAAAAGTAAATTAAAGTTTGTAGTATGATAAGAGTAAGTTAAGAGTAAGACAAGAGTAAGTTAAGAGTAAGACAAGAGTAAGATAAGAGTAAGATAAGAGTAAGACAAGAGTAAGACAAGAGTAAGACAAGAGTAAGACAAGAGTAAGACAAGAGTAAGATAATGTTATTTATTGTAAAAGAAAAGGGATCTTTTTCTAGGTTATTGGCGTTCATGATGTGAGCAATATCTACAAAGTGCCGTTGCTTCTTCAAGAGCAAGGAGTCTTGCATCACGCGATTCAATGGTAAGTTCAAAGAGATTTTTCAAATACAGTCGACTCACTATAAATGAAAGGAACCAAAAAAAATCTTTCCATTATATAAAGTGCCGTTTTATATAGCTTAACGTTGGCTGGGACCAAAATTCAATTCCGTTATCTAGAGTTTTCCGCTATATAGAGTTCCGTTATAGGCCGTATAGAGAAATAGATCTAGAATCAATTCTAGATAGATAAATTTACTGTAGATTACTGTAGATCTTGCTGTATTTTAAATAGCCAATGATCTTTTGTCTAGTCTCCGTCTTCCCGAGGTTTCTCAACAAACGCTTCGCGGCTTGCGCTTCAACATGGTCCATTGGACTCATCTCAGTGAATTGTAAGTGAAAAATAAGAGAATTTTCAAAATCAGACGTAACTATCGATTCTCAGAGTCGACAACTACACCCAAGAAGTACAAATAGCTCTCGTTGGCAAATATGTGAAAATCGAGGACGCGTATGCTTCGGTCAACAAATCCCTTCAGCATTCAGCTATTCACAGTAAACGGAAGCTCAAATTAAGGGTTTGCATTGAGTTTCCCAATTCAATTCAATATTTTCCCTTTCAGTTTGTCGACAGCGAGCTTCTCGAGTTCCCGGTGAAGCCCGGCTTTCAAGCGCAAGCTGTTGCCGCGTGGGAGGCCGTCAAAGCGGCTGAGTGAGTCAAGAATTTGAAATTGAATTTTAAAAAGGGGAAAGATGATAGAAGTAAAATCAAGAAAAGTTTATAATGAGTAATTTTAGTGGAATCATTGTGCCAGGCGGTTTCGACAAGCGCGGAATCGAGGGAATGATAAACGCTTGTCAATACGCTCGCGAGAAGAAAGTCCCATTCTTGGGTAAGGAAAATGTTTTGAAAGAGTTTTGAAAGCATTGTTTTATATTTGAAAATGGGAATTTTCTAGGTGTTTGCCTGGGAATGCAATGCGCGACGATTGAGTTCGCTCGCAATGTGCTCGGCATCACCGGCGCCAACTCGACCGAGTTCGACAAGAATTTAGTGGAAGAGCAACAGGTGAAAAGAACTTATAGTCTAAACAATAGTATAAACAATAGTCTAAACAATAGTCTAATCAATAGTCTAATCAATAGTCTAATCAATAGTCTAAACAACTATTCAGGTGGTGATTGACATGCCAGAGCACAATGTGGAAACGGTTGGATTGGGTGGAACGATGCGTTTGGGAAGTCGCACAACCGCTTTCCTCACTAAAGATTGCACTCTCAGTGAGTTAAAAGTTAAACCTAAATGCAAATATTATAGAAATCATAAAAATAAGCTAAAATTAAGAAACTTTAAATGATTGAGTCTTTAGGAGTTATTTTAAACCATTTCAAATCTCGTGCAGATGGTTGAGCTTTCAATTAGCATTAGCTTTGCCTGTAAAACTGACTCTACGAACTACTGTATTAAGAAATTATTCAACTAGTAAGATAAACTTAAAAACACAGTACTTTTTGTAAAAGTCAATCTCTTTAGGAAAGTTGTATGATCGAGATGAGGTGAAAGAGCGCCATCGTCACCGCTATGAGGTGAATCCCCGTCACGTGCCCGAGTTGAGCAAACGTGGTCTTCTCTTTGTCGGTGAGTTGTGCTTTGTATTTTAACTTAAAAGCCATTTTATTCTTAATTTTCTATTAGTATTAGTAGTAATTCTTCTTAGGCATGGGAGTTGATGAGTCGACGGCGAGTCTCAATGTGATCTCAACCTCAAAATCGTCGGCTGATCTCATGAAAATGGCGCACGAGCAACAGAATAAAGAGGTGAGCTGAAGGATATTTGAGTTATTGATTTATTGGCTTTTATTATTGATTTCTTAGCTTTTGTTATTGATTTATTAGCTTTTAGTATTGATTTCTTAGCTTTTATTATTGATTTATTAGCTTTTTTTGATTGATTTATTAGCTTTTATTATTGATTTAGCTTTTGTTATTGATTTATTAGCTTTTAGTATTGATTTCTTAGCTTTTATTATTGATTTATTAGCCAAATTTCAGTTTATTACGAGGAGTAGGCTTAGTAATTTTTTTAAACTCAAACAGAGTCCAATTTTTGACTTGTTTACCACTTTGCAAACCCATTACCGTAACTTAAACGATAGCTGAAACACATAGAATACATGAGAAATAATTGAATCTTCATTTTCAGACTCTCCTCGACAAGATCACCGATTTGTGTCATCGCGGCGGAGACGGTGTGGTACGACCAGCCGTTCGAATGGAGATGCTCGAGATGGAGGGTTCGTGGAGAGGGGAATTTGAGACGAATTTGAGACGAATTTTGATTTGAAACATATTATCATGTGCACATTATCATATGCACATTTTCAGATCACCCGTATTTCGTCGGAGCTCAATTCCATCCAGAGTACCTCTCAACTCCGCTCGTCCCATCACCGCCATTCCTCGGGCTTTTGCTTGCAGCCAGTGGCCAGCTGAGGGTCCGTTTGTAAAAAAGGCATTTCCAGAGGCATTTCCACAAGCAGGATTTAGGAAAATGCATTTGGGTATAGAACTTTAAAATGTAAATTTCAGGGATATCTCTCTGGAACGAAGACGCCAACGCCGATGGTTTCATTGACCGAGGAGACGCTTCCACAAATGGAAAAGCTTGGAGTTCATGCCTAAATCGAGAAGAATAGATTGTTGTTTTTTTTTGATTATTGTTAGTTGTGTTTATGTTCCATTATTTGATGATCACTGAAATATCTCCAAGTTGCCTTTATTCGGTTCTCCTCATTCATTTTCTCATTCAAAACGTCAAGGGTTTCTGGTTGTTTTTGCCGGTTTTCTTAATTAGATTTTAATTCTTTAATTCAACAAAGAACTCAGATTATATTTACTAAGCATAAATTGATTGTTCTTTTTTCGATAAAGATTGATTTAAAGAGAAAGAGATCAAAGGAAAAAAGCAAATGAGCAAAATGATTCAGTTTCATTAGGTAAACACTTTCTAACATATTATACTGACATTTGTAGTTTGAAAAAACAGGAATATTAAAAAGTGAGCTAATGAGTCACACCAAGACTAGGATCTTTGGCTTGACTTCTGGCTTGCTCAAGTAGTTTTAGGACAAGTCAACAAATCTAAGTCAAACTTTAGCCAGCTCTGCCAGCCAGTCAGCTCTGCCAACCAGCCAGCTCTGCCAGCCAACCAGCTCTACCAACCAGCCAGCTCTGCCAACCAGTCAATCAGCTCTGCCAGCCAGTCAATCAGCTCTGCCAGCCAGTCAGCCAACTCTACCAGCCAGCCAGCCAGCTCTACCAGCCAGTCAGCCAGCTCTGCCAACCAGTCAGCCAGCTCTGCCAGCCAGCCAGCCAGCTCTGCCAACCAGTCAGGCAGCTCTGCCAGCCAACCAGTCAGCTCTGCCAACCAGTCAGGCAGCTCTGCCAGCCAACCAGTCAGCTCTGCCAGCCAGTCAGCTCTGCTTTTCATTTAAACTGTTTTTCTGTAGGGGAATTAGATTTTGAACTTTTAATTGTTTCAATGTTGTCATTTTTCTCAATTTCAGGTATCGACTTCGGAAAAAAAGCCGTCTGACAGGTGGAAAATTCCCCTTTAACAATGCTTTGTAATATAAATGTAATGATTGAACTTTGATGAAATGAGAAAACGCATGAGGAAACATGGTGATTCTGGGAAAGAAGCTGGCTAAAAATCACGAATCGCTTACTTTTGATCTTTCGACAGCTGATCTTAAAAAGTCAATTTCCATCAAAAGTCCTAATTTCAAATGTTTTGCAGTGGTTGTTTTTTATTTGCCATTGTCATCATATAATTATCCAGTTTTTGGCGATTCTTGAGCTTTGTAAACAATTAGAATTAAAAACTAGTTTTGCAAAGGTGCATTGAATTTTTGCGACTTTTCTAAGAATATTCTATTTTTGAATTTACGATTAGTGCTATAAATATGTTTCTAAGTTTATATCAGATATTGATATATTTATGCTCAATTTTTTAGTAATGTTTTATCCAAAAGGCTCATTCCGTGTCTCGCTCTCGATTCTCTTTTTTCTGATTGGCATTGTCGCGTTGATTCTCTCGTTGGTCACTCTTGCGGCGATCTTTTTACGATCTCCGAAATATATGAAAAGATATCGATGGGTTCTCGTTAATATATCAGTGAGTTGAAATCGAATTCCGAATACAACTGATGTCACAAAGTATCTGTAAAGAAAAGAAATGGCAAAGAACTGAACCCTCGAGCTTCTGCTTACCTTCTGCTGACCTTCTTCCTTACCGGGCAGATGCTCTACTACTGAGCTCGACTTCTTTGCCCTAAGAAGAAATAGGAAAAACAAGGAAGAGAAAGAAAGGAAGAAAGAGAAGGAAGCATGAAGTTTTTTCAGTTCTCGTGTCTCCTCTTTGACATCTGTGGTTCAATCGCTCAACCGATCGTCGCCGGGCATTATTGTGGCGCTTTTTTCATCACTCCAATTCCATTCTCAAATTTTACGGCAATGTTTTTCTTGGTGAGCTCTTGGTAGTAGAATAAATAAGCTCGAATTTGTCAGTCAAAAAATCTTTCAGTCTCTAATCTTCGTGGGTCTTTTGCTGCAATTGATGGCTCTTCATGTCGCCTATTATTATCGATTCGTCTCAATTTTATCACCAGTTAAAAGAGTATGGTTTTTTAGTTCTAGAAAGATTATTCAAGTTTAATACATTTAAAAATATGACATAGATTAGTCTAATCGATCTAAATATGGCTTTTTTTCAAAGAAATTCAGATGATTTTTCGTCGATTGAGCGTTATTTTCTTTCCGATTCTTTACTTTATCGTTTTCTTGATGATCGCACTTCAATGGGCTGCTTACTTTGACGGTTTACCGGAAAATGTGAAAACGATGGTATGCAGTGGTGTACTAGATCCTTTCAATTAGCGTACTCGATTAGTACTACAACCTCTAATAGAACTGCAGGCTCTAATAGAACTGCAAGCTCTAATAGAACTGCAGCCTATAATAGAACTGCAACCTCTAATAGAACTGCAAGCTCTAATAGAACTGCAAGCTCTAATAGAACTGCAGCCTATAATAATACTGCAACCTCTAATGGAACTGCAGCCTCTAATAGAACTGCAAGCTCTAATAGAACTGCAGCCTATAATAATACTGCAACCTCTAATGGAACTGCAGCCTATAATAGAACTGCAACCTCTAATAGAACTGCAAGCTCTAATAGAACTGCAACCTCTAATAGAACTGCGCCTCTAATAGAACTGCGGTCTCAGCCGTGACGAAAAAATAATACTGCGCAGTACTAATAGAGTAAATACGGTGAATCTTTTTCTGAATCTTTCAGTTATCCTCAAATATTGACCTATCCGAGATCAAAAACGAGCCAATTGTCATAATTTTCTCTCTCAACTCTCCATACATTCAATTGTATTGCCAAATCGCTATCGGATTCACGATTTTTACGTTAATTTGGCTTAGCTTGATAACGATTTTAATTTTCTACAAATTGTACTTTCAACCAAGGAAAATCACCGAGAAAACACTGAAGAATCAGAAAAGAATGGTGATCATCCTTGTAATACAAGTGAGTTGAAGCTTTTGGAAACGAGTAATTGCCTGGGTAATTGATCCAGCTTGATCTGGGCTTTATTTTTGAAACATTTTTTTTGGTACTATCCGGTTATATGCTCAAAAAATTGCTTTAAAAAAATTGCCTTTTAAAAGCTAAACAAAGAAAAACCCCATGCATCAATCGAGTTATATTCCAGTAAATGTACTCAAACACCTTAAATACTAAACTATTACGTTGTCCAGTTATAAATGCGCGTTTTTAAAGATAACAACTCTTTATTTTAAAACCAACAGTTTAACAGCTCAATCACACAATATATTCACCATTTGTTAACAATATTTGTTTCCATCTTCCATGCAAAGAATGAATTCCCTCGGCGTAAAAATTGGCTTGTTTTAAGGCAAAAAAAAAGTCGGTTAACCATTTTTCGACCAACCAAAAAACACGAAAAGTTGTAATAAATAAGAAAACTTGAACAGCATATAGAGAATAGGGTTTGATAAAATTGTATAGCCCTAAGGTATGCTGTTCAAGAGCAGCATATAGAGAATAGGGTTTGATAAAATTGTATAGCCCTAAGGTATGCTGTTCAAGAGCAGGCGCGCATTCATAACTGGACAACCTAATATTTCCACTTTTTGACGAAAGTTGACGATCAGATGGCGGAAACGTTGTGTGGCGAATTGCCACTGCTCTGCAGTTAGTCAAAATTCAATACACAAGTTAAAATTCAAAGTTAATGGATAAACTACCGTAATCAGCCACTAGACGATATTCAGTTGTCCGTTTGGCGTGGCTTGTGTCCTTAAAAACCCATTATTTAAGCTTTGCCTTGAGTCAGTTGTGTGCTCCTTTTTCTAGTCATCTCTTTTTTCACACGCAAGTGTTGAAGTAATTATGATAGTGCCAGGTTGCTCCAGCGAAGTTTGCCCTAATAAGGGAAAGTTTTGATAAATTGTTTTGATAAATTCAAGACATCTACCATTAAACCATACCGAGACACGGTCTCACAAGAAATTATAAAGATCAAAGTATAAATCAAAGTATTAGGTGTGTGAAAAAGTAATCCACGTTTTTAACGTTTAAATATAAAAGACCATAAGTCTCGTTAAAATAATTTTTATTCAACGAAGTAATCACCATTCGAAAGAACAACCTTTTGCCAACGTTCTACAAGTAAAGACATTCCACGATAATAAAAATCTTGGTCCTTAGAGGCGAAGGAAAGATCAACCATCTTCAACCATCTCGGTTTTGACATCTTCTTCGGAATTGAACTGTTTATTGGCCAAAAAGTTAGACAGAGACAAAAATGAATAATAATCAGATGGAGAAAGGTCTGGACTATAAGGTGGATGTGGTAAAACCTCTCATCCAACACTTTGGATTTTTTGTCGAGTCTGTAAAGAGACATGTGGTCGCGCGTTATCGTTCATGCGGTATCCATTTGTCCAACTTTTTGATAAAATTCATGGCATTCAAGCGTTTCCTTGCGGTTGACCCATCACAATTTAATGTAAGGTCTATTTCTGAAGAGGTTGAACGAGGGTTTTCGAGAAGACAGCGTCTTATTTGGTCATCAGATAAAAATAAAAAACGTGGATTACTTTTTCACACACCTAATATATATTTCTTACAGAAACGTTCGTTTTTATAAATAGGTAGACAGATTTCTTTTTTGGCCAGATATCCAATAAAAAAGAACGTTTCAAAGCCAGCAAACATCTACCATTAAACCATACCGAGACACGGAATCAGATCATTTATAAAGATCACGAGGAATCAGATCATTTATAAAGATCATAAGGAATCAGATCATTTATAAAGATCACGAGGAATCAGATCATTTATAAAGATCACAAGGAATCAGATCATTTATAAAGATCACAAGGAATCAGATCATTTATAAAGATCACAAGGAATCAGATCATTTATAAAGATCACAAGGAATCAGATCATTTATAAAGATCATAAGGAATCAGATCATTTATAAAGATCACGAGGAATCAGATCATTTATAAAGATCATAAGGAATCAGATCATTTATAAAGATCAAAGTATAAAAATATATTTCTTAGACGTTGCTTAGAGA